CCGGCCATGTCCTCCAAGCTGTCCTCGCGTCGGGGCCCGAGGGCGCACAGGAAGTCCTCCCTTCCCGGCCTGCGGCCTCGGTTGACGGCAGCAACTTCCCTCACGCTCTGTCTGACGTCTCTGGAATAGCTCCTCAGCCGTCTGACACCGCTCTCGACAGCCTGCATACATCCTTGACTACACCTTCCCGTCAACAGCAGGCTGCAGCTGCGTTCTCGCTGTCGGCCGCCTCTTACAACCACATCAACAGTCCCGACTGTGGCTTTAGGGATGATGGTGAGGACGATGATGACCTCGTCGAAATCAAACCGACCAAACTGCAACAACTATTTGCAAGCATGCAAGCCAAGCGTGACGGCCTCGAGAAGATGGCTGGTCTGGGAAACAAAGCACGAGAAAGGAGTGTCCTCCTCGACCGTGTCCCAGAGAAAGTTCTGCGAGACTTCCGCGAAATGGTTGCGCAAACGAAAATCGAGTGACCTCCTGACCGCCAAGGTCCCAGCGAGACTTCACGATGGTATTACGAACGACGCCTTGATTTTTGGCTTCTGAACAGACTCACCACTCTTCAGGTTTCCTTTGTCATTGGGTTTGGACGAGATGGATTCTCCATCTGGGTAAACTTTTCGGACAGGCCGCTCGACCGAGCCAGCCTGATTTTAGCGACCTACGGATAGCGGAAGCGCAAAGCCAGCGGGAAAGAGACATATGCTCCAGGGCACAATTTCCTTGATTTTCCAATTTCCTTGATTTTGGGCATCTGGAGAGACCTTTTAGGATTTTGGTTTATTCTTTGCTTTTTCTTGCATTTCGGTTTTTAGTATGACTACGACATGATGATTACCAGTTATCTAACGGCCTATGATAAGATGAGCTTCTACCTCTTGGATATAGCAGACTTTATGCCTCACGGGGAGGAGGGTGGATTGGGAAACCAGAGACACGGACAGAGCCATTCACCATGGATAAAGCTTATGACAGGGGGACATGGCCGGCGTGACGGCCGAAGCAAGGGACAGGGCAAAAAAGGAAACCCAGGAACGCCCGTATTGACGAGAATTGAATGGAGCAATCCCCCCCGGCCTCAGATCTCCCAGGGCCATGGATGGAACGATGGCACGAACAGGGGCGGCGCAGCACAGGACACAGAAACGTCCCATCCCCTCCCAATATGTAACGACCCGTTATGTCATGAAACGACCACACAGTACAGATTTTGACGTCTTCATTCCCATCATATATTACTATATAGCAAACCAAGCAGAGCCGGGGCAGCGACGCACGCGCACAGAACGAGAGAGAAAACGGAGCAAGCACAGCGGATCAGATCAGATCAGATAGCCCCAAGCTGGGATGATTGAGAATTTGATGACTATTATGATTTAATGAACAGCGTTGCAAAACCCGCTCGGGGGCAAGGAATCAAAAATCTACCTTCGTATCTCCTTTTTCTCAGGGATTCATGTGCTTGCAATACTGGTCGATGGGGGCAAGTCAGGGTCCCAGACCTGAATTTTTCTCCCCGTCACACATGGCCCCTAGGTGGTCCGGTCACCTTCACCGTCAAGGTCGACGTGAACCTTTTCTGTCCTCGGCTGCGACCTCGGCACCATGTCATGACCTTTAGGTCAAAAGGAAAAGGCTAAACCCATCATTGCGGCATTGGCCATGTCGAGGTACTGGCCATGTCTCAGCCTGAGCAACGAGGAGCGACGAGCAGTGAAGTCTTCCTGTTGGAGCAGCGCACGCATCCAGAACACATGGGATCGTGATAAGATGTTCACACGTCGGGGCAACAGCCCAGTCCAGGCAGGCACCAGCTCCCCTACGAAGTCCCCTGCGTCATGCAGGCACGGCCTCCTCCACGACCACTGCTGAGGAGCCAACAACTCGACCTGAAGCTTCGGCAATGGGCTACGGCGGTTGCCGTGGCCCGCTTCCATGCCTTCGGCCCTGCTCAGCCCGTCCTGAGTTGCCAAAGTGCCTTGGACGACGAAACGGAGATACCAGGAAGATCGTCGCTTAAAGCTCGTTCGTTGCCTGGGTAGGAGTAAGGAGGAGACGGGGGATACTAGCGCGGGAGCGAAGGTTGACAGGTTTGAGGGCCAGTTGAGGGTAAATTGTTGGTTGAGGTTATGGTCTCGGTCCTCGGATTCCTCGGCCTGCGTCCCCTCGCCTCGCTTTGAGTCAGGTCTGCGAACTTGTCCTGGTCTTTGGGAGCAACAGACGTGTCAGGCTCAAGGTCATGGCCGCATATCGAGCCGATATTCGGACGGCTGCACGGGGCGTGGGCTCATTTTGGTGGGTCGTATTTCTCCTTCCAAATCCTGATCATCACAAACACCAAGACGTCAGCACATAGTCACGCATCACCGCTGTTTGTCCGGGTTGCAAATGAAACATTGAGGCTCCCAAAGAGGCCGACTGCTTGCCCATGGGATGCTTCGGATTCCTTTGCGCCTGGTGGACGACGGCAGCCCAGCCACCTCGCTTTGGACATCCAAGTCTCCCCAGTGCGAACCACCGTTGAAAGCTGACAACGGTGGACCCGGGTCGCTAAAGCGGTCGCATGTGTCTCCAAGTTTGACCGCCAATCAAGTCTGTCTTGGCATGGAATCCCAGGACACCGCCAGATTTTCGACCCGATTTGTGAGAAAATGCGACGCAGGAGATGACAAAGTGCCAGGAAGGGAAAGACTCCGATCGGATGATGCGTAAAGAGTCATGAAACTGGGACTTACCAGCTGTTTCCCAACGTCTTCGAACCGCTCTTTTCGGCCAATCTGAGAAGTTGCGCTGCTTTAAACTATATCGCGAGATGCATGGTGTCAGTGCCGATTCATTTCTCCGAGACGCAGAAGGTTTGTGATTCGTGGAGCCCATCACGACTTCAGACTAATGCAAGGTACAACGACGAGAGGCCGGCGGTGCGACCGCTGAGTGGAGGAGTGGTTGCTGCATTGCTGCCCAAAGTGAAGCTGCCATTGAGGAAGTGCTGTATTTAGGTATTTCGCGTATTTGGGGGCCGCAGGACGCCCAAGGGGTGTCAACGTCCGACCCACGGCACATTCGATCTAGGTCAGATTGTGCTGCACCTGATCTCGTGTGGGTCGATGAGCCTCAGCTGGGGGCTGCTGCCGCCTTTTGTCACGTGGAAGGGAAAGGGGGTCGCGCGTCGAATGAAGAGATCATGAGCACGCATGTGATAGATAGGATTCCGGAACATGCGCAGCGGATGAGAGACAGGACACTGACTCACCTTGTCCTTCTTGCCCCCAAATCCTTCCAGGTAGCACCAGGCAGCCTCGTTCATGGCGTCCGTGTCCCCTAGATTGGCCGCAGTCTCGTAGTATTGCCTTGCTGCAACTTTGTCGACGGGAACTCCCCAGCCATTTCTGAAGCAATTTGCCAACTCAAAAATCGCAAGAACAAGTTCTCCCTTGGCAGCGCCTCCCTTTTTCATGCCGGCATCGAGAGCGTCCGACTCGATAGTGGCAGAGTTCGATGCTGCCGCCGACAGATAGGTGATGGCCTTGGCCGGATCAGGGTGACATCCCCAACCGTGGCGCAGAGACAGTCCATACAGCACCTGGGATAAAACGTTTCCGCGTTCTGCGAGCTTGCGGAACATCTCTGTCGCTGCCTCCAGGTCACCAGGCTGGCCCGACTCATGAAGCTCAATGGCCTTCTGGATGTCGATGTCGCTCTCAGGGTCGTTGACGCTCGGAGCTCGAGCTGGAGAATGTACCGCAGGACTCGCAAGACTGAGGTTATCCAGATCGCCAGTCAGCTGGTTCGCTGGTATGATGGGGCTTTTGCTGGCCAGCATGGTTGCACGCTTTTCCCATTTCGCCTCAGTGTCCTGACGATCGGAAGTGTCGGTGTAAGTGTCGGCTAGGTCAGGCAGATCGGACGGGAGATTGACTGAGCTGGTACTAGCAGTGCGGTCTCGATGCAGATGCAGTCGCTCTGAAAGTCGCTTCCTCTCTTTCCCGGGGGATTGCACATCCGCACCACCAGGACTGGGGCTCTTGCGGAAGCGACTGAAAGACCGTCTCGACGCGGGAGGACTTCTGGGCTCAGCAGACACAACAGCGCCTCGGTCGCTGTCCACGAACGAGGGAGGCTTGATGTATTCCTCCGTATGTGTGTCCGTGCGCACAAAGGTGAATTCGTTCGCCTGGGGCAGAGGGGGTGTGGTGTGCTGTTGTGTCACTCCGGTGTCTATCCTCTCTTTTTTTTGGAGCAATTCCTTCAAATGAGGCATCGTAGCGGCTGTTTCACAGCTCGATTCGTGGTTGCGTTTCAAGGGGGGACAATGCAGGTGGACTCGAGTGGCAGTGGCTATGGCTAGGCCACGCTGCGATACTGGCAATATCTCTTTATATGTGGAAAGGAACGCGACATCAGTCAATGAGAGCTGGATGCAGTGCGACTGCCTGAGGCTGTGTCACGGTCTACTGGCGCACTGTGAGATTGCAGTTTGCAGCTCAGCGTCGCTTTGGCGGCTTGGAAGGAGGGATTGGCAGTCACGCAACTGCCCAAGGGCGGCACGGGCGGGCAGTGCAACAATGGCGGGGGGCCGAAAACCGCCTGGACGCAACGTGCAGGCGCCAAAGATGCCCGAAGTCGCGGCTTGATGCTTAGAAGCGTCCATTTCTTCTAGCGAGGCAGTTATCGGCCCAATCGGCCATTTTGGTATACCTCGTCGCTGTCTACGGGAGCAGGACTCGTCGACAGAGCAAGGTCTGAGTCTTTCGTCGTAACGAGGCTCACGGCTATCTCACCACCTAGGACCTTGGTCACGGGACAGTGGAGCGGAACGGTAACGTCCTCACTGTAGAAAGCCGAAGGTGAACAACGCGGCAACGTGGTTTCCTCCAACTTCATCCCTTCCACCTCGCTGATTCATCATGGCCGTAGACCAGCTGTATCTCTCGTTTGTTGGCGTCTCTGTTTCTGTATAATCATCCCGAGAAACACCTTTCTAGGACCCGACCATGGCGATATTCGCTCTGCCTCACGAGATCCTCGCCGTCATCCTGTCCTTCCTCGACCCCCAATCAATCATCCGCTTTGGCCGAACATGCAAGACCGCGTATGCTTCGACCGGCCCGCAAAATCAGATCTTATGGAAATCTGCCTTCCTCCACGTGTTTGACGATCCAGATGAAGCGTGGTCGATGACGCCTGGCACGCCGCCGTCGACAAACGAACGGGGTTTCGACTTTCATACCGAGCTTAGTAAACGATTCATCGCTCTCCAGGCCGTCCGGACGAGATCGTGCGGCTCCAACGACCGTGCTGAAGCGTATATCGAAGCACTACTCAGCATTCTTGATACGGCAAAGTTCACACCCAATGCCCGCGACATTGCGAACGGCAAAGTTCCCATAGAGGATGATCGATATACGTCGTTGAATCTCCAAATTCTATCCAACCTGGCCGAGTGGCGAGAAGGCATTGAGAGCCTCATTTATGACACGCCTTCTCGAGAGTTTTCGCCGCGTCCCATCACGAGAAGCATGACCGTACGCGAGTCTGAGAGGTGTCGGACTTCTAGGGCTTCGCGCCTGCACGTAATGTACGGCCTTACCAACTGGGAACGCGTCGAACACAAAGCTCGCGGAGCCGCCAGAAGGAAGGTCTATGACTGGACCCTCATCGGTGCGGACAACGATTACGCTCCCTTCCTGCGAGATGGCAGTGGCAAGGTCGATTGGCCTCTGCTCGAGGGTGTTGCGACCGTCATGAGGCTCAACTTCTCCAAGTGCGTCGATCAAATCGCCGCGCCAGAAGGCTTCTGCTATTCCCTCCCACACCGCACCCTGGTCGACCCGACCACTCCAGAAGACTGGGCGCGCGCGACGGGTCCTTGGCTGGGGACCTACGCATTCCTGGACTATGCCGACCTTTGGACCTACAACAACTGGGAAGGTCAGGCAGAGCCGCGGATGACATTGGATGGCGAACCCGAAGACTGCGGTGATTTGATGAGACTGACACTCAAACTGGACCCGTCCATCTCGTCTGACCCACGTCTGCAAACCAAACTCCCCATAAGCACCGATCTGCCAGTGCTTTACTTTTCAGGCCACTCTCGTGGTTATAACGGGATGCGCCGTCTCATCATTGCCGTCAGAGGCTTTGCCTGCCTTGTGCCGGGTTCGCGAGAAGTGCGATGGAGATTTCTCATCAATTACGGTGGTCAAGATCACTGGCTGTTGGAAGGCATCCAGCCGGGAGGTGTCCGTTCCGGCGGTATCTTTGGCATTTGGACACACTGCGACCATGAAGTCAACACCCCGTCAGGACCGTTCTGCTACTTTCCCGAAGAACTCTGCAAGTCCACCAGCGTGGTAGTGGCAGCCCGATAGACGACTTCCTCTCTCGACAAGAAATCTAGGGCGTCTGCTGAGGAAATCCCAGCATGACCCCGAACGATCCTTCTGACCAGCTGCCCCAGCGAGGGCTATGAACTCCTGCTCTTCAGGGGCTTCTATGTACCTCAAAAGGCGATGTTCACGTCCCGCAAAATCTACACCCTTATTTTCCACCGTATTTATCATGGCGGTGGCATTTGATAATCACCTCGCTTGTCTCGATAGACATACATGTCCCTCCCACTCGCGCAAGAATCCCATTCCTCACCATGACTTTCCCTTGTGCACCCCCTTGTTTGTGCGCGAAGATGTTCACCCAGATTCGCCCTGTTGAACCATATCCGAGTGCGGCGACGTCCGACACCACTAAGCAGCCCCCTATATTCTCCAGAGTAGAGCAACATATCTCAACACCTCGTATACGCTATCGGATCGGCCTTGACTCTGGGTACAGGAAGCTGAGACACACACTCTTGCCACCTGTTTCGATCAAGCATGCCTGGCATACACTGCTCCGTGGGCGCCGCGATGGAGAGTCCAAACTCTCGGACAGACGGGTTCATGCAGGACAAACGCCTGTTGTCCTTTCCTGGTGTTTCGCGCAGGTCTCGGCGGCATGAGCCAGAGATGGCGTCATGCACGGCTTTGGGGAAATCAGTTTTAAAACTCCATCAGCTTCCTCAAGCTGTCGTCCTGCACCCTGGCACAGTAAAGATACCTCTCGCTCAAGAAGCTCGTAAGATCCTGGAAAGTCCCAAAGCCAAGCGGCTTGACCAGTCTGCTGAAGAGCGCCGTGAAAGGTCCATCACCTCCTCCCGTCGTATTCTGCTCCCCCACTCCTGGTGTGGCAAGCGATGACACCAGGGGTTCTGCGGACGCTGTGGAAACTCGCCTGGAGCTAGGTTTGATGTTACAGTGCTCGATGTATGCGCCAACCGAGTATATCCAGAGCATGTCGAACCTCCTTTCATCCTGTAGAACCTGGCCCTGGAAGTCGAGATGTTTATCGTCCGAGGTACGGCCACTCGGAAACGGCGGGTCGAGACGTTTGAGATTGGCCTCCACCTCGGCGAGGAACATTGTGCTAAACCGGAAAGACGGCTGTTCAGTGTAATAGAATTCTTCAAGGATGGCCCTGTCGAAGCACCTGACAGTCAAGCAGAGGATCATGTTGAATGCCGTTGATGAATTGCTAGCCCGGATCTCGTCAAGTCCACCATTCTCGGCTGCAGACTCGGAGATGATGTCCCTCAGATCGCACCAGAGTATGAGGTTGCGCGCTCGAATAGCAAGCTTGCGCAGGACCGACCACCGAAACACCGGCTCAGCCATGTCGGACTTTGTGGCCGCGAGGGCAATCTTTACTTCCTCGAGATGGAGCAGGTCTCGAAGCTCCTTGACGACGCTGCTCACTTTGGGAGACATAGCAGAAGGCTGGAATGTGTCGGCCGTGCAGCCGTCTGGGGTGGGATGAATACCATGGTCGACCGTCGAACTCAGCGGCTTGGGAAGCGATCTTGAGAACTCGGGCCAGGACGGAGGATTCCACTCGTCCGGATGAAACACCGGACGTTGACGGTTGAACCAAGCGCATGCCACCTGGGAAAAGAGCAAGGCCTCGCTTTGGAACGGTAGCATACTCTTGAGCCCTCCCATCATGTCCACCACCATTTTGACACCCACAAAATGCACCTGCGCTGAGGCAACATCACCGGAAATAATGCCACACGCTGAGAGCTGCGCAGAAGCTTTCCTGATCTCCACCAACAAGTCTGAACGGCCGTTTTGTCGGTAGTTTTCCAGCAGGTCGCGCAAGCCCCTCACTGCCAACATCTTGTGCTTCTCTGCCAGGACCATTGCATTCTGATCCCGCCGACCTTGAATTTGATATCGAACAGCTCTGCTGTAATGCGAATGGCTGATGATTGCGTGGGCGACCGCCGGCGCATCGAGGATACTGGGCATACTCTTCCAGGTCTCGGCGACCAAGATCGCGCGATTCCCGCGCATAGAGATTTCTGCCGGCCAACAAACGTCGATCACGCTTACTCGATCGTCCTTGACGAGAGCGAGATCAAATGCGCTGAAAGGGACGGCGGTAGCATTGAAGGGATCTGAGTTCCCCTTGTACAGTGGAAGGGTCCTATCTGATCGCTCCGCTGCCAGATTGTATGGATGTTTGGCCGACTTTGCTCCCTGGCAGTTTCTACCACCAACACGCGACCGCGAGTGCCTCTGTATAAGTCGCCACCTATGCACGCCGCTGTACCTTTTGGGACAGTTGCAATTCTGCTCGTGACTAGGCCCTTCTTCATCGCTCGTGGAGCGGTCGTTGCGATGCGTCTCAATCCCTTCCCGCTCCGAGACAGGCTGCTCGGATTCACGTTTTCTGGCCGCAGAGACGTGATTAGCAGTTCGTTTGGGAGGATCTTTACGATTCTTCGGATGACTGGCTCTTGCGGCGTGTGAGAGCACTTGCGCTCTCTGCAATTCCCTGCTCCTTGGATCGGTTGCAGAGGGGTATGCATCCACAAACAGGAAGCCTTTCGAACCCGCCATCTGGTCAGGAAACTGTTCCAACGAAGATGATCAGCCCTGTTTTGCTTATGTGCTTAAGAAATATTCCCACGTGGATATCTCGTGAACTTCATCTCAAGCATGGTGAAGGATGTCCTGGTTTCTGCGCCCTCCAGCAGTCGTGTTCCAGAAGGGATAACGGGGATGACAGCTTGGCATTACCGTCGATAGAATCTCAACCGATATTTATCAGTGCGATGGTGGCGGCTCTAGCTGGCTATGAGATCACCGCTCGTCAACGGCCGATCCAACGACAGGGAGAGGATGAGCGTAGCCAAAGGGTCCTAAAATTTGAGACGCCGAGGCTGAGTCAGGCATGGGACGATTGCTGATGCCCTGGTGCTTATATGAAGGGCTAGCAAATGGTGAGGATGGAAATCGAGAACTGTCGATAGGTTGAGCAAGCTCACAAGGCAGGGTTCGCGCCGCGATCGAAAAGGAGCCATTTGCACGAAAAGATACCATATGCGGAGGCGAGCCTCCACGTTGGGTGGATATCCGAGACTCGTGGCCATGTTCAAGAACAAATCAGATCGCTTCTTGAGGTCTGATCGGGGCCCAGCTCGCTCAGGAACAGAGACGATCACTGGAAAATCAGCTAGCTCGGTAAGGCGTGGTAGGGGAATTCGTTTTTGCCCACTGTGAGAGTCGCTATATCGGCGTGAAGCTCAAGGGAAGAGCAACCGGCCCGCTTGCTGGGAAGTGCGTGGTCTCTGCGGCCAAGCAACCTCCAGCGATCGCCACGGCCACGGGATTCACAGTGATGTCGATCAACTGTCGATGCTGATGATTAAGCATGCCTAGCGGGGTAATCGGCGTGGGAAGATCGCCTCTGTACTCCGTAGTTGAGGCCATATCGGCTTGCAGACTACGGGCTACATTGAACAAGGCGACGCAGGAAGACATTGCGCATTCCGCTGCCTGCTCAGACTCGCCGTGCCTTCTTCAGGTCATACATTCTGTTTCCGCGCGTGGGGTGGGTTGTCGTCGTCTCGACGTCTTGGACAAGGCTCTTTCGTGCCTGTTGGTGGACCACCGTCTCAGACCGGCCACCTCTATGGTCGAGGAGCAGCAGCGTGAGGCCAAAGGCGCATGACAAGATAAGATTATCTGGGGTGGCGGCTACGCAAGAAGTGTGAAATTGAGCAGGAAACAGCCGATATGCAGTCCATACTCCTTAGGAGCTCACATGGGGTAGTTTGACATGTCGTGGGGAACACAATACGCTGGAACATTTTACGATTAGAAGCCTGAGAAGCGAGGCACTACATACCTCGTCAATCGCGCCATCAAAGTGGTGCTGTCGAGTCAACCCTTGCTATCGGTTCAGGACTGAGCAGGGCACGCCTTTGCCTCAGGCTGCTCCCCTCCTGTCCTCCTCGACATCCGTCATGAGCGAGACCGCAAGCGAGCACCAAGGAACGGCTGTTTGTGTGAGAGAGTCAACCGGAGCCACAACGTACTGACCTGGTGAAGGATTCGTCGAATACTTTCCCCAGCGGCACCGTTCAATCCTCTTCAATCTCCCCTTCCTCCGACCCGGAGTGCACTCCGGCCGGCTCGGCCAACTGCTGGAGATTTTCCTTCTCTTTCTTCGCGCTGGAAGGCTCCGGAGTCTTAGTCTTTCCCCTCTCACGAGAGCGTGATCTCCTGTCACGACGATATCGTTTGGCACTACGGCGGCCACTTTCCACGCTGTCCTCACTACCCTCCCGGCGTCGTCGGCGATCGCTGCCGGCCACGCTCCTTGACTCCTCGCCGTAGTTGAGCTCGTCTCTACTGCCACGAGGCTCGGCTCGTGTGCGATACAAGCGTTCACGGTCGGCTTCGCGATCGCGCCGCTCCCGATCGTAGCCACTCACGTGCCGTGGTGGTGGAGTGCGATCGCGGACAAGACGGCCATGTCGCTCGTCACGGTCTCTATGATCGCGAACCGAGGGTGGAGGGCTGAACCCGCTCGTTTTGCGGTACTGCTTCTCACGAGCAGCTTGAGCTTTGCGACGGTCTTCCTCATAGGCATCGGGCTCCGGGGACTTAGAGACTCGACTGTACCTGCTTTCCCGATGGCCGTTGCGATAGTCTCGATCGTCTGTGCGTCGGGAGTGTTTTCGATCTCGGTCCCGTTCCACGTCTTCTTCCTTCTCTTTGAGTCGCTTGATCACCTTCTCATATGCGGATTTTCGCAGTTCCTCGTCCTCGATGGCACGGTATTCGTCCGTCTTCTCCACTCGTGGCTTAACGTCCTCCCAGCTGTCAGTTATACGCACCGGAGGTTCAAGATGCTTGATGCGTGAGCGAAGCGCATCAACCGCTCTGCGCTGATGGCGATCTGCTGCGTGCTTCTCGTCCTCGCTTCGTCGAACGACCTTGTCATGCAGTCGCTGGAAGATGAGCTGGAGAACGTCTCGATTGATGGGGGCTGTTCGTCGATCAGTAAGCATGATATCAAGGAATTCATCGAAAGAAGTTCTAGGTGTCACTTCAAATCGTTTGTCCTGCAGGTAATCAGCGAAATTCCAAAACTGAGGAGGCGGCCACCAGCATACCTCGAGAACATCATATACATCATTCCGTCTGCCCCTCAAAGCTCTTTCCTCTTCCTCGACAAGATCCCAGAATAAGTCCAATGGTGTTGATCCAGCCTGACCCAGCACTGCAACATACCTCGGGTCCTCCTCGATCTGGGGCAAAATGGTCATCCACTTGGTGCCGGCTGTGATTTTGCCTTGGCTGCGCAAGCTCTGCAGTAGTTCCATGAACCTATCACGGTTCTGTCGCTCGCGCCGAGCCTTGGTGGCCTTTTGCTGCTGACGTGCATCATTGAAGGTTCTTTCGAGGGATTTGATATGGTTCTCAAAGGCCGTCAAAACATCTGACTTACTCAGAAGCTTGAATTTCTCATCAGACTGAATCCGCTCGTTGTTCTGGAGAATCTCCTGTGCTTGTGACCATCGAGTGTAAGGCTCGAGATTGAGCGCGTTGAGAATTGCAGCCAAGTCGTCCAGGGCTGATCTGCGGGCAGCGGCTTCCTGCTCAATGTGCTGCTTCTTAAGCTCGACAATGTATTCTTCGAAAAGTTGCTTACGCTCATCTTCGTTATCTGTCGAACGGAACACCGTCTCGCCCTCAATGATGGGTCGGATCGTCTTCCATCGGCTGTAATGCTTGATCTCGGGATGTGTCCTCAACATGTTACCGAAATCTGTGCGTAGCTTAGCCAGTCTCTCTTTGGCCTTTTCCCGTTCTTGTTGGCGAACCTCGACTGCATATTTCTCGAATGCCGCTTTTCGGTCCTTTGGGTCCTTCAGCGCTCTGTATTGGGGATCCTTGATTGTCGCACGCATGGTCTGTTCCCAGGTCCAGTCAGGCTGAACATTTGATCGGCGCAAGAGCTTCATGAAAGCAGCCTCCGCCTCTTCGAAGCTCGAGTAATCAGGAACGACCTCTTTGGTGATGGTTGGTACGGTGATTCCATTCTCGGTACGCGGTCTCTCGAAGGGGGTATGGTCGTCCCGCTCGCGATATGACTGAAGCGCAGTACTGCCACCAGCGACAAAAGCGGGCGGCTGCTGGACGAGCTTGGGCGGTAGTTGGACCGAGTTCAGGGCATCTCGGTACTGTTGCGGCATCTCCCATGTCGTCTGCTTCGTCTCCGAATGTGAGTAGTACTTCCGGCCGTCGGGCGTGCTGTGTTCTTTCCATGGCTGAGATGCAAGGGCTTTCTCGATTGGAGTCATGAGCTCGGTAGGTTTGGTCCATCGTGTCTCTTTCGTGACGGTGTGGTAGAAGTAGGTGCGCCCATCCGGCGCGCGTGCCTCGCGCCAGGGGCCCGGCGTTGGAGGCAGGCCACTCATCTTCGTCGCAAGCTCAATGAGAAGGTGATGCTGTTGTGCTGACCAAGAAGAAAAGAGCGAATTGTGTGGGACTGTGAGCTGGAAGGACGACGCATGCTGGATGGAAAGAACAGGAGTGACAAGGTCGCAGATAATTTGTCTGCGCGGCTTATGTAAGCGGCCGATTTGCTTGTCAACTTCGACTCTTTCGGCTCCACACAATCAGTTCGTCCATGCTACAGTATGACACCGACTAACAGTAGGGGCTGACCTTGTTGCATCTGCTACACTGGCAGAGAGGAGGAAGAAATGCTCCATCATCATTTATTACCTCGCTCGAAACAAGATGGAGGAGGATTTCTTCAGGTCGGCGTTGGTAGACGCCATTATCCCTGAAGACACCGTGACCGACGTGTCTGATATTCTCCAAGCTGGAGCAGAGGCGCAAATAGGCCCCAACCGCTTGCTCGCGGTCAAAGAGAGAGAGCTGCTGTTCTTTGGTACGCCAGATCGCTAACTCTCGTGGCCTTCTATCTTACTCATACCCAGATCAGATGAACGGTTGAGAGCCTTGGCTGTTCTACGCCTCCCGAGTTGTGACGAAGACTCGTTGAATTCGTACCTTGCACGACTGTCGCTCAAGGTAGAAGTGTGGGCGGTCGACGAAACATCCAGCAGCGAGCAAAGCCCACCTATTTCCCCGCCACCAAAGGAGTTGGTCTTCTCGGCTGAGGGTATTCAGAAAGTCGAGCCAATTGTTCTAGCAACCGAGTCAGCGGATGGCGGTCAGAGCTTGACTCTTGTGTGGGAGTTCGAAATAGTCCTCAACAGACCCAGATTCCGCGTTCCTCAGCTCAGCATCATTCTGATACCCTCAGCCATCGTCAATGCCCTTCGGCAGGACGAGACTGAGGAGGTTAGTGATCTCACTCCCTTTCAACCGCTCGAGGCGAATATTCTCGAGCCAATGCGGCTCTTGCCTGGCTTGAAAGACAATCCGCCATATCTTGCCGCTTCGAGGCTTGAACGCGTACTGCCTGTGACCGCAACCCACAAACACCGAACTCACATTCAGCATGTTCCGTCAAGGCGCCATAGAGCAGTACCAGCGACAATGACACGAATCCGATATCAGAAGATCAACAACGTCTCCGTGACCCCAAGCACAATTGCTCTCCTAGACATGGACATCATCCCCTTTGTGCAGATAGACGCTACTATTCGACAGGTCGATCTATCATTGAGAAATGGTAGAACCGATTCTCTGATGCCAGGGTTTTTACCGATGCAATGTCGAACTGGGGACTGTTTGACATTCTTGTACAAACTTCACCAAACCCAGGATTCAAACCTCGCCCCAGGCATTGGGCTTCCAGGTCGAAACGTTGACGTCTTATCAATCGCCATCAAGTTGGACATACGACTCAGCGAGGTCTGCCACCCTGTCCTGGTGATGGATTGGACGACTCACGTTGATTTCACGCAAGCATTGAACCCATCTTTTGGCCCGCCATCGCAGCCGATACAACGTCAAAATCGACCGACGAGCCTTCCTGTTAACAACATTAACGGCAGCCCCGCGGCAGGGACCGGCTTCGCCACCAGCCTACAACCAACGTATGACATTTTCGCAAAGAGCGGCGTTTCGATATCTTTCACAGCCCCCGCAGAGCCTACCATGGTCGGGCAAGCATTTACATGGCGAGTGCTTGTGGTCAATCATTCGAGCAAGATGGCAAAGATTGCAATTATCCCATTGCCGCGTATTCAACGTCTTGTCACTCACGCGCAGTCATTCGCCAAACGACATGCGCCGAAATCTTCCACTGCCTCATTTCATCCGAGCGAAAGGCGCCACACAAATAATGGGGATGATATTGATGTTGCACAGGCCATAGTAGACGAGAACGTGGTCTACGCCATGCATCACTCGAATTCGATTCCGCCCGAAGCGGATTTGATGGCTTTGACTGCTGAGCTTCGAATCGGACCTCTAGCACCAGGCCAGTGCCATGAGAGTGACATTCAGATGGTCGCGTTTGAGGCTGGCACTCTGCGGGTTGATGCTATGAGAGTTGTGGATTTGGTGCGAGAGGTCGAGGAGGGCGGTGCAACATTAGGTGCACTCACAGACATAAGAGACTTGCCAGATGTGGTGGTGACCAGCCCAGTGGCGAGTGGAGAATCACCGACGTCGACTGCGAGTTCATCGTGAAAAGGATCCCATCGGTCGTGGTGGGCATTGCGGACAAACAAACGCCCGTCGTTTCTGACAGCTGGCCAGCAGGATACAGGAGTCCTTCCGACACTGTCACTGCAGGATACTCAGGCCATCCAGAAAGCATATTTTGCAACAAGGCGCCCATGCAGATAGGTCTCCGGGACCTTGCAAGCACAGATCTCGTACCTTCCGTCGAGTGATGCCGTTGTTCGACTTGTTCGCTTGTTAGTGTAAGTGCACTGGAGGCAGAGCCATCCCCTGTTCAGACATCACTTATTAACTCTAGTATGAGAGGTCGAATATCTGGTCAGGTGAATCGCCTTGTTCCCGTCTTTAGCGACACTGCCTTGGCCAAGCGAGACTTTGATCGTCCTGGAGTCTGCCTCGTCCAGCCAACCAATCACGCATTTCCATATCGAGGATGCCTTGTGCGGCCTTTCCGAATACGATGACCAGGCACAGCCATTACACCGCACAGCCCGAACGGTTGAGAATGTAATGGAAGTTATAAAGATCATGTATCTCAGAGTTCTTAACGGTTGCAGACGTTGACGCTTCGAGCATAAGCGAAGATCGAAACATATTTTTCCAGCTCTGAACATAATAATTATCGGCGAATCGACCTACTCTTTCCAGCGTGCAACATGACTGTGGACTACTCCAAACTCAAGGACGAAGTCCCATCATTGAAAGGACAAGAGGTGAATGTTGAGATCAAATCTTCGTCAGCATCGACCTTCTCCGACACCTCCCACGCAACGACTCTCCTCGATGCTTCCAACTTCCATCCCGGCAAAGTCCTGCATATCGCACAACGTGGTATAGGCGCCCTCCGCCTCCCTATTCCGTCTTCAGAGCTCGTCACCCAAATTTTCCATGAAGACGGAAGCGTGGCATATACCTCGACGAGAGCCAAGAGATCTTCGGGCAGCGCAGTTCTCAGCCACCCGAAACTAGGCGACTTGATCAGCACAACGTACCGCTGGGGCCCAAGGCGTCCCCCAATTCTCCAACTCATCGGAAGTCAAGACGGCGAGGATATTGTCACAGTCAATGGGAAGTGCACCTCTCGAACCACCAACTTCAACACACCCGACGGCTCCGTATTCGAATGGACCTATGCGTGCACAAAGGATTCCAATGGCAAGAAAGTCAATATTATTGCTCTGAGGGAAAAGAAGACGGGGAAGATTCTTGCCCAGTTGAATAGAGGCGAAGGGACTCGCACGGAAGGAACATCGAGATGTAGCGCTGGCAACGGTGGACAGCTTATTCTCGACCAGGACGCTACAAGCCACATAGATGAGGCGTTGATTGTGGCAACATGTCTGGTGATGCTCAAGAAGGAGATTGATCGTAGACGGTGTGTGCAGATGGCCGTCATAGCTGGAGTAGTATCGGGTGGGAGTTAAGAGTCCCTTTGCATGGTAGTATAAGTTTGGCAGGCGATCATCGTGGCGGTGATATTATAAATATGAAGACCTTATATCATACCACAGTGACAGCTCATTCTTGATTGTCAGTAATCTCTATTAAGGGCGTGGCATCTTAGCACAATGACCATGCTTGTTGCCTGTGTCCTAAGTACTCGGTGCAATGTTGCTCTCGAGGACAGTTTGATCCTCCGTATTAAGCAATTCTACGGAATACGCTAGCCACGAACCGCAATTTGGTGTACCTTTACGAGGACCGAGTAGTCCATGCTTCCACTTATGTATCCCTGCGGTACCAAATTCAATATGGGCTGAAGAAATTGTCCAGGATGTCGCGCAAACGCCGCAATACTTCATCGCCCGAGCTGGACGATTCGCCGCCCTCACCTAAGCGGCGCAACATCCCTGTCGCCCATCTCAACTACGAGTCTGAAGGAGAAAGCCATGAGACCCCTCGTTTTGACGAACGCGTTGGGCAGACCGGCGCATTCCCTGGGCTTGGAGCTGATGATGATGAGCTCTTCTACGGCCCTGCTAGTGATGGGATCGACTATTTGAGGATGGTGCGGTAAGTTCTGTCACGTCCAGGCAATGATGCCCGTTGCTGAGTATCGCATTTCAGGTCATGCAGAAGCTCAGGCTGACAAGACACATTATCCACTAGGTCTGAGGCCAAGCACGTCCCGCACATCTTGACAGCACCGGGAGCATATGCGCAGCAAGAGCTTGACCAAGAAGATGGGAAGACGGGCGCTGGAGGATATTACTACGACGGTGCATTTGCTGCAACCCACGACAGATCTTCAGCTGCTGAGCCTGCCTCATCTCTTCCACCCGCGCAGACACGATACTACGATGCTCTCCTGGCGCAATTCAACCTCGTCCGAAAAACCCTGCGATGTTCCCCTCCATTATCAGCGGTACACAAACTCCGGCCGGACCAATTCATATCGTTTCCGGAAAATACGACCAAGGTCCGGGCGCAGTGGGTGGACCACATACTTTCGACAGATCCTCATCCTGTTCAGCTGGCATGCATGGACTCGAACACAGTGGTGGAACTAGTCAGGTTCCTCGGGATGGAGCTGGAGAAGATGCTGCGGCTGGAAGATCAAACCAAGGTAGCACGGGTTGGTGCTTGGGTATGGGCAATCCTGAGCAAGTGCCGTGATCGAGGGGAACTGTCAAGCGAGGAGGTAGGAGACTTGAGGCAGCTGGCGCAGGTAGCCCTGCGGTCGAAAGGGGAGGACCATCTTCCGGTGGAGGTAGATATTGACGACGAAGATGGGATGGTAGGCGGAACAGTGCCCTCAGATCAGTCTGCTGAGAACGGCGCAACCGAGCCCACGGCGAGCCATGCAGAAGCAGGGGTGCCGGTGACGCAAAAGCCGGATGAAAGTGGTATGAGGCGGCAGAAGTTGCTAAGCAGGACGTTGGACATGATAGTTACGATCGTGGGCGAGGTTTATGGCCAAAGAGACCTGCTGGATGCTCGGACGAAATGGCTTCATGGGGGCAGTGAGATGAAGACAAGTGACCTGTGACCTGCTGCCGCACCAGCCTGCTATGCGCAAGTAACTAAGCGATTCTCAATCGGACCACCACCACGGCAAGCTGCGTCTAACACAGCCTGTCTCTGTCTCACACTGCGGCGTCACCAACAAACAGTCTCTGCCTTTTCTACTGCCGGCTCTTCAACCTGGACTTGGAACCTGTACCTCAGATTTATCGACCTGCTGCATGGTTACACAGGCCTCTCTCCCGCCATGACGAGGTCGTCTCTCTTGTTGACCCTCTTCGTATCTGGCGTCCTACAGCTCACCATGGGCGACTACAATCCTGACATCTCCAATGGGACCTGCTATTACTACGATGGCTATGAGGCTGATTCAAGATACATTCCTTGCGGCAACGCGGCACTCGGTCCCAAGGTATGCTGCGAGAGTCTGGATATGTGCCTCTCGTCAGGTGCTTGCTACAATGCGCAATGTAGGAATTTCCCTCTGTTTTGATGTTCGCAGGCTCATGATCCGCAGATGGAGTGACTTATCTTGCCGGTTGCACTGTGGAAACTTACGACGATCCAATATGTCCCAAGAAGACCTTTGAAGGTATGCATGAGCTACAAAGATCGCCACGACCAGCGCTGACAGACCCCCCAGATGAACAATGGGTTGGATTGGTCTACTGCAATGGAACCTCGAATCAATGGGTCGCGTGTGACGAGAAAGAGACGGGCTCGACCACGGTTACCAAACCATCATACTGCTGGTGTCCGGATGAAGAATCGAGAACAGTTGCCTTCAGCGACTCGTCTGTTCTCAAGAATATCATGTCGTTACCGGCGACTAAGGGGCAAACTGTCACATGGAAAGACGCCGACGCGTGGACGACGGAACACTCTCTTGCTTCAGCGATGGGCTCCTCTCTGGACACGGACACAACCACCAGTACTTCTTCGTCCACCCGCTCTAGCTCAACGAAGAGTGTGTCCACCTCAACACCACCTGCATCCACGAGTCAAGGACCTAGCACGACCACACCTCCATTTTCGACTTTTGCGGCACCTGCAGCAACCTCAGCTCCCCCGGCGACGAGCTCCGGCATGAGCACTGGAGCGAAAGTCGGGATTGCGCTAGCCTCAGTGATCGGAACAGCAGTCCTTGCACTTCTAGTCTGGCTAATTTTGGCGTGCATGCGGCGGAGGTCTCGAAAGAACGGAGCAAAGGCGGAAGAACCCCCACCAATGAGAGAACCCACCCTTCCCCAAGTCGAGCGACGACCAACTGACCCCGATTTGAGAAGTCCGGCCTGGTCAGCACACAAATCAGAACTCCCTGCGGACGAGAGCGCGACGAGCATGAGCGCTTCTCCGGCGGCTGTGTACCACGAGTATGCTTACCAACAAAGACCAGACAGCATGGTCCGGTCAGAGGTCGAGGGCAGTCCAGTCAGAGCGTCACCTGTGAGGCCAAGACAGGATGGAGGATTGAGAGTGCCCGGGCAGAATGGGACGTTTTACGAGATGGCTGGATGAAGCGGAAGCGAAAAAGGATGCAGATAACCCGTGGACAAGGCGCAGAGAGAGTAGTAGTCGGATCAAGTTCTTGCACCTTTTGCAAAGACGATGCTATACCTTGAGGGGCAATGGCCAGGCTTACTCTCCAGCTCTCAAGCGCTGCTATGCACTCAGCTACAGTATGTACTGTACACCATCCTCAGCCTTGCATTTGCATATGCGTGCACCATCCGATGCGAGCGCTGCGAACCACCCCCACACGCGGGCGTCGGCACCACAACCGACCACCTGTGTGTGTGCGTGTGCGCGCGTGTGGGAACCGTGAACGGATATGAAGGTAGGAAACAATCCAGCAAATGTTCGCCAGAAGGCTTTTCCGTTCCCACCAGTTGCCTCGCTCCCTTTTTGGCCCTGTATTCGCATTTCACATTCTGCGTTCGCCTCTTCCCTCTTCCCTCCCACGCTTCACTCGTTGTGCGCAAACCCTATCACATCTCTCCCCTAGGTGCTCCCCCCCTTCCCCCCCCCGGCCGCGCAGCCAAAATGACGTCGACGTCCACGTACACGGGTGCGGTGCCGTCGGGAGTGAATCTCGACCCCCGCATCGTGCCGTTCTTCGAGAAATTCTACGACATCAGTGACACGCCCGCGGCGCACGACGCCTACGTGGCCTCGTTCCTCCCCGACGCCGACTTCGTCATGGGCACCAAAGTCACGCGCGGGTCCGACGGCATCCTCGAGCTCCGCAAGGGTCTGTGGAGCGGGCCCGTCCAGCGGCGGAAACATACCCTGGAGAAGATCTTCCCGTTCGGCACCGGCCAGGACGCCCGCGAGGTCATGCTGTACGGGAGCGTCGAGTATGGGTTGAAGAATGGGAAGGAACTGACGGTGCAGTGGGCTGCGCGGGCCGTGCTGGGCGAGGACGACGACGGCGGGTTGAGGTTCAAGCTTTATCAGGTTTATTTGGTGAGTCGACTGATCCCTCTTGTGAGAGCGCAAGTGCACTCGGAGCGGGCTAACGTGAGGTACCTATGTATTGGATAGGATTCTGCACCTGTCACCAATGCCCTAAAGGATGATTAGGAGAATAAACAATAAGAGAATTCGACACTGGATGCTCCCATGATTTTAAATGATCGTACATTTCTAATTCTGTCTTTCTTGCCTTTTTATATTCATCTACGCCCTTCGATGCGTCGTGCCACGATTCATGATTCGTTTCGAGGCCTACTGACCAACCCTGGGATGGCACTTCAGGACGAGTCTTTGGTCAACAACATCGTACCCATCTTGCACACGGATTCTTTACGGCCTCAATCTCTGCGGGTCTCTAGGGAAAGGCGTTGCCTGCCTCACATTGTCCAAGCCAAGGAAGAACATAACGATCCGGTTCAAGCCCAACCCACCGCCCGCGTGCGGCCTACAGCCTTGTCTGAAGGCGTTGACATAGTCCTGGAATCCCTCTGCGTTCGGGTCGACACCTTTCGCACGCATCGACGCCTCCAACTCCGCCGCATCGTTGATACGTTGTGCGCCGGACATAATCTCCTCTCCGCGCATGAAGAAATCGTAGGAGTTGCTCAATTTGGGGTCTGTGGGATGCGGTTTAGTGTAGAACGGGCGGACTACCATGGGGAACTCGTCGAGGACGTAGAAATCCGTGTCGTACTTCTCCCGGATGATTTGTCCCAACTTCTTCTCCTGCGCGGTCGTCAAGTCTGTTACGTAGTTGTCCTGCTCTGTGGTGTCAACACCAGCGTCTCTCAACAATTTGATGCCGTCGAAGTATTTCAGGCGCAGGGCTTTGCCGTCTTTGAGATGGAAGTCCCCAGCGCGAGGGAAGAACTTCTGCACCACAGCGATCTCGTCCTTGTACCGGGAATTTAACTCGGAGATGATGAAGACGATCAGTTTCTCGGCGAAGTCCAGAACTTCGTGGTAGTGGTGGTTGAATACCATTTCAAAGTCCAGGCCGGTGAACTGCAGTCTTCGTCAGTATAGCTGGCAGGCGAAAGGAAGGGAACAAGGACGCCGTACCTCGGTCATGTGTCTATGGGTGTTGCTGTTCTCTGCTCTAAACACCGGTCCAATCTCAAACACCGACTCGCAGTCGCCGGCAATGAGCATCTGCTTGTGCAGTTGTGGTGACTGCGCCAAAAAGCCACTCTTTCCGAAATAGTTGTTCACTTCGAAGACACCACTGCCACCTTCAGTTGCCGCACCGAGCAGTTTGGGTGTGTTGAACTTCCTCGATCCTGATTTCCTCATGTACTCTTCAAATAGGCTCTCTACTCCCGAGGATATGGTGAAGATGGCCTGGTTGCATTCCGTCTGTAGATCGATGACTCGATTGTCGAGGCGGGTCTTCAAAGTGACAATCGGTATTCCCTCCGCGTCTACTGCCGCCTCTCCTTCCTTTTCTTGTGCTGGCGGTGGGCGTTCAGCGTCCTTGACCTGCATCGGGAGCTGTTCGGCAGCGGATGAGATCAGGTAGATTTTAGTGACGTGTAACTCGAGGTTGCTTATGGAGGCGGATGCGACTGGCGGATCGGGCTTCTTGACCAGACCAGTGACGCGAACGAAGGAGTTGATGTTGACTCCCACAGCCCATTTCACCATCTGTTTCGATACGTGATCTCCTGTGGCTGCGACGACGGCCTGGATCGTTTTCCCTTGTTGTCTGAGCATGAGGAAAGCGAGCTTCGCACTCTGGCTTCTGCTGTTGTGAATCCTGACAATAATTGTGATCTCTTTGTCGACATGATCGTCTCCGAGCTTCTTGAGGTGGGTAATCTCGACCGCATCGTCGGGTACCGGGCCATAGTTGCCTGTCGCGGTATCTTCTGCTGCTTGTGCTTGTTGCGTTGCTTTCTGTTCTGCCTCCTTAGCCTTTGCAGCGGCCTTCTTCGCAGCTTTCTCGGCCTCCTTTTGTGCTTTCTTCAAAGCGTTCTTCGAGGGTGCGCCGTCGGCCGAGACATTGGGGTTGTCTTTGGCGTGAGTTGGTAATGAGGCTTCCTTGTTCTCCATGGCGATGGTCCTGGGGGTATGAGCGATAGAAGGACGAAGAAAGCGCGCAGCTGCAGCAATGATCGAATTGTGGACGAGAATGCGACTGAGTCACGCGAGGGAAAGTTCAAAGTGGGCTGTTCGAAAAGTTCACGGCGGGGTTCATCAATTGGAGAGACGACAGCCTTTCAAGGCATGTGCAGCCTTGTGGCACCCAGGACCCCTCTTGTGCCCAGCTCGAGTTCATTCATGTACTGTATTTGACGCTAAAGGGTATCTTCTATGCTCATAAGTATTCATCTCAGTCGTAATCCGCCTCGTGTCATGGCTCCATATCGGCGAGGATCATGCGTGTGGATGCATCCTCGGCAACCCATGTCTCGATCCTTTCGACCACGTCCGCAACCATCTTCGCGTATGTGTCTGACACGTTGAACATTGAGGTATGCGCCGTGACTTCGTCAATACCCTCGAAGTATATCCGAATCCACCTGTCGTCACGCTTTCCGCTGGCCGGATCCTTGGGTGGAAGGGCACAAAATTTGCGGTCTTTTTGCTTCCTGGCCGTCTCGGCCTGTAGTTGTTTATCATAGTGTTCAGGATTGAGTGTTGCGGCTCGCTTCTTCTGTTCTTTTTGCGCGCGAGCTTCTTGTACTTGTGCTTGTTTCTTGGCCATCTCTTCTCGTTTGAGCGTGTTGCGCTGCCGTCGTTCAACAAGTTTCTGACGTTCCTTCAGAGATTCTTCCCTGTCTTTGACTGCTCTCTCGTATGCCCTGAGCTTGCGATCATGTTCATTTCTCAGTAGCTTGACTATGTCCTCTTCTTTAAATAACCCAGCGTCGAATTCTGGAGGTGGCGCTGGCAGGGGCGGAATTGGCGGTAACAATCCAAGTTCTGCCGATCCGGGTTCTAAGGCGCTCACGCTTGCGTCTATTGCCGAAGATGGATCAACTCGATCACTAACGGTCGTGGCAGGCGTTAGTCCAGGAGGATCGGGATCAATGTTAAGTTCGGTGATGTCTTTAGTGATCAGCTCGCCGTCCCGATGCTCCTCTAGCGAGAGTCGTGGACTCGACACGGTTGAAGGTTGAAGGCTTCCTGCTGACGGCCGTCGTGTAGATGTCTCCCGGAACTCATTCGTTGGAGGCTCAAGCAGATCAGACCGAGTGCTTGGTGAAGGCGATCTCTCCTTGACGGGTCCCGTACTTGCGGAGTAATAGTTGACGAACCTCACTCGTTTCATTAACTTCCCGTCTGGCGTTCTTGCCTTCACGGTCTCATCCACGTCTTCCAATGCACGAACCGCATTGAAGCGCCTCTTTAAGCCCGGGTAGTCCGCGAGACAGCCGCCAAATTCAAGGTGAGAAGAGACGTAGTCTCCAGTCGCCTTGGCCAACTCACCACAGTGCTTGTTCCAGAAGTACCAGAACCTCCGCAGCTTGCCCGTTCTGTCCGCCAGACGGATGTCATTTGCGTACCTTGGGTTGTAAGTTGGACCTTGGGGTGCTGCGTCCGAGAACATATCTGGATCTGCGGGCGGCGACACTGAAGGCTGCGGAGGCGTTCGGAAGAGACTTGCGATGCCAGTACCCACAACGCCAGGATGCATTCCCAGGAAGGGTGCATCGAAAGCAATAAGTCCTAGAATGCGATGCTGGAAGAGCTCATCGTTACCCGCAGGTGAACTGGAAGGGATCAAGGCCACTTCTGCCGCCAGGATGCCTCCCAGGCTGTGGCCGACCAGGATGATATCCGTTCTGCTCGACTCATGAGGCCGTAGCCAATTGCTGAAGTCATCGCGTGCGAAAGAGATGTTCTTTCGCGATTTGTAACGCGGGTAGATTTTCGTGTACACCACATGAGTCTCTGCTAACGCGGCTGTCAGCCGGGCATGGACGTGAGTCGGAAAGCTCTGAAAGCTGGTTTCTGTTCCAAGAAAGCCATGGATGTATATAATCAACAGGGTTCTGCGATTGTCGCCAGGGCTCTCTACGGGGCGGAGGGACTGTGTCGACGAGGCTCGTGAATCGTGCAACCCGCCTGAATAGGGATACGTAGATGGATTGAGGTTCGGAGAAAGCGTTGGGGAGAGATGGTTCATGTTGTTATACGATGCAGTAGATACTGTCCTTGGTGGCAGTGGAGGTTGTTGATTTTCTGCCATATCGGCAGCAGTGATTGAAAGAGCAAAGCATCTCTCGGAATGGAAAGCGTAACAGTATACCAGATGTACGAGGAAGTCCCAGCACAAAGCTCGTTGATGCCTAGTACGAGTCGCTTGCGGGCGGCAGTGATGTGGCTGTGACGCCCTTCGATGATCATGGTGATCTTTCTGCCACCACGACGTCACTTTCGCTTGCACATCTTCACGCTCGCTTCACGAGGCTGCAGCTTGCAACTCGAATGAAAAATCCCACGACTGGGTTCTTGCTCAGACACCATGGCGCCTCAAGTCGAGATATCGATACCTAACACGACCATTTCTGAAGGCTCCAAGCCGTACACGATCTACAACATCACTCTCCGCCTACCTCTCCGTTCATTCACAGTCCAGAAGCGCTACTCCGACTTCCTCACTCTACATTCGGGCCTGACGGATCAAGTTGGCGCGCCTCCACCGTGCAGCCTGCCTGGGAAGTCTTGGTTTTCGAAAACAGTCTCAAACCCGCAGCTCACCGAAGAGCGCCGTCACAGCCTCGAATCATACCTGAAAACAATCAACGAAAGCGACGACTCCAGATGGCGCACAACCAGCGTTTGGCGCGCATTCCTCAACCTCCCCTCCTCACTCGCAAGCAGCACGTCAAGCAAAGCCGGCGCGTTACACTCGATCATCTCGGGTCCCGGAGGAGGCGGCGCACCCATCACAGATCCGGTGATATGGCTTGACGTGCACAGGGACCTCAAAGCACAATTACAAGACGCGCGCCTGAACCTGACGAACCGGGATCAAGCCGTCACGACGCAGAAACAGCATGAAGCGGGCGCCGCGGCAAAGAGCCACCTGGTGAAGGCTTCGGGGCTTATATCGGCACTGGAAGAAGGACTGGCCAATATACAAAAGGGCGCAGACGATGGGTGGGGAGGGCAGAAACTGGGAGAGGGTGAGCTACGAAGGCGGAAAGATCTGATTGCGTCCGCGAAGAAGGACCGAGACGGACTGGAAAATCTGCTGAATGCCATGGCCACGAAATCCAAACTCGATCAGACTGTCGCTTCCATCCAACAGACCCAGGAACTCATGGGTAGTGCTCAGCACAACAAGCCCAAGGTCGGTGGCGGCAGAGTTCTCGGGAAGGAGACGGCCGAGACGCGCGAGCTCGATAACCAGGGCGTCTTGCAACTCCAGAAGCAGAAAATGGCCGACCAAGACCTCGATGTCGAGGAGCTCCGCAAGATCGTGCAACGGCAAAAAGAGTTGGGCATCGCCATCAACCAAGAACTCGAGGTGCAGAACGACATGCTGAGAATGGTCGACGAAGATGTGGATAGAGTGCAAGGGAAGATCCAGATCGCGAAGAGGAGGATTGGGAAGATATCGTAGCGCGATGGCTCTTTGTCATGATAGCGTTCATTCATGTTGCGTATCGTCACATCAACTTTTGGTAGGGGGTATCTCTGTAAAACAACGGCATCTGAGGACAAGCAGCCTCTTGTAGCCATTTTCTCCGAACGCCAGGCATAACCGGCAAATCCATCACTGCTGCGGTCTGGAAGACTTGACCTTCATCAAGTCATCTGCCTCGCCTCTGGTCATGTCCGACAGCTCTTCTTCATCCTTGCTGATGAACCCGATGTTTCCCGTTCTTATCTTGTACCACAACTCTCCTCTATTCTCGCCCAGCTGTCCCTGAAAGAGCTTCTCCTTGAACTCGCGCAACACATCATTGTAGTAGTTTGGCACTTCCATCCCGATTGTCTCGTTTCGCATCGTGGCCAAGCCTTCCAAAACCATGTCGTAGTTCTTGTGGCCGTAGTCCTTCCTCACGAGATCCTCGATGATCTGCTGCATCTGCTTGACCGCTTCTCTGATGATGGCCATATCAGCTGTGGTTTTGAAAACATCTTTGAACTCAGGAATTGCATTATTTGGGTTGATCTGTGTCTTCCCCTGCTCGATCGGGCGCTCTTTGCGCAGCAACTTTTCCACGTCGAGTCCAGAAAGTGGCTTGTCGGCCTCGCGATCACGAGCTCTCACTCTTCCCTTTTTCCGCTTATCCACCTTCTTGACATCTGCTGCCTCTTTCAATTTTTGCACCGCCGAGTTCGCCCGTTCCACAACAGCAGCCGGCGGTCTCTGCATGACTTCATACACTTCTTTTCTCTTGGGTAACTCCTTGCTCTTTTTCGGGTCGTTGGCGTTGATCGCGCGGTCTTTGATAGCATCCTCGATAGTATGGAGGAGTGGTGAAAATGTGTCATCAATGGCCATCATTTCTTCGCCACTCTCATCGTCCACGAGCATCATGTTGTCCACGAAGTCGCTCATGCTGTCAAGCAGCTCTTTCGACGGGAGATTGCGATGTTCTGCGAGTGCTTTCCCCGACACAGTGACTACCTTGTCAAGCGGTGGAAATCTGTACGACCGAATGTCCTCCGCAAATGGCAAGACATTCTCAACCAGGCCTTCGAAATCGCCCTCCACCAGTGGCGAGAGCACTGTTAGAACTGGTTCAGCTGCGTCTTTCTTCACCAGGCGGCCGATTGCGACCGAGCCGAGTTCGAAGAGAGAGTGGATGAGTGAGGACAACGCCATCGCGGCTCTATCATTGCCCTTCTGTGCCACAACGATGTTTGCATTGTCCATAAGCATGTACCGCTCGATATTGTCCGCAGGAACAAATCCCATTATGTCGTAGGCGGCTTCCGTCTCGTACTTGGTGATGTTCTGTTCTGATTCGGCGATTGACACTGCTGTTCGTCCATATTCATAGCCTTTGGCCAGTTCATCACGTTCCAGGACCTTGGTACCGCCCTCGTACTCGTCGCCGTTAACTCTGTACTTGTAGAGGTTGTGTACGCTAGTTAGACCGTCGCCCTCTTCGTCTTCAGCAATGCCACCCGGTCTGCTGATGTAGGCGCTCGCAGTGGGTGCTCGTCGGACTGACACTTTCATGTACCTCTCCACCTCAATGAACAAGGCCGTGTCGTACTGTGTGGGGTCGCCGAGCCTCAATTGCCCTTTGTATGTCGGTGTCGGACGGACCGACTTGATCGCAGGTCTCGAAAGGTCTTCGATGGCCTCCTGCATTGTGCCAAACTGACCACCGCTAAGATCGACTAGCCGTTTCAAGATTCTTTCGTTCTTCGCCTTATCTGACGGCTTGTCCTCTTCCTTGAAGCCATACTCGGGATCGTCGAAGTCCACACCCAACAAAGTCAAGTCGATGTTGTTGTCCTTGAATTGTTGGGCAACCTGATCCAGGTCATCCTCGTCGATGTGGCTACCCGTAGCATTTGTGACAACAAAAATCCTCTTCTTGTATTTCAAATGCTTACAGTGCCGGCTGATCATGTCTACTCCAAGGATGATTGCGGAAACAATGTCTCGCTCGTCCGTGTGGCTGGGTTTCAACACCTTAGGCAGATTCTGTAGGTCGGGAAGCAGGAGTTGTGCTATGGGTTGGAGCACGCTGATGTGCTTGTAGCTGTCATCTTGGTCCATCATTGAATTGTCTGTCTCGTCGGTCCCGAGCCCGAGTACACCAATTTGCAGGGTCTTGCGCCCTGTGAAAACGACTCCGGTGACTCGGTCGAAAACCCACTGCAGGCACCATTCCAAATCGCTTTGTTCTCGATCATTGTGCTTCTTGCCCATCGATTGAGCAACATCGATGATATAGACAGTGGCCTCCTTGTCCGCCATGATAGCTGGATCTGTGATTGAGCGATGACGTCCGAAGGATGAGGCGGCTCGCAACGTGAGACTGGCCGATCCTATAGCGGATGAGGCGCTAGAGGGAATCCGAGGGTAAGGGAATCACAATACATCACGGACTCGGCGCGTTGTCGACTTGGGTTCGGGGTGAAGCGAGGTGTGAGGGCGCATCGAGGGGAAGATTGAAAGGTGGAGGCAAGGCACCGATTCACGAACTTGCCGCGTCATCACGTGGGCAGCAGCTGCACTCGAACGCATTTTCTGGCTGGGTCGAGTCGCATTGGGACATGAGCCAAGGAAGAATGCAAACCGGAGTTGTAGGGACGTAGTTCGCCATTTGAGTGCGATGCGGTCCATCGCGATTCGAAACTTCAGCCGTCCTGCATGGCATATATCACATTATGCAGCAAATCCGGTTCGGACTTCATGGTAAGCTACAGCCTCACTGCGTCGACATTGTGCCATGCTCGCATGACAAGCTCATCCTGCGGTTATTGACCGGTGCTGCAGACACCTTCGTGCCGAGATGGAGAAGATCTCGTTGCAACATGCTCGAGTTACGCCTGATGCAGATGCGCTCGATCAAACTTGGCGGTTTGGGCCGGAGGACAATTCTGACGGACGAGACCATTCGGGATGGGAGGCAGACATGTTCACACTCTGCTGAGCCTTTTAGGTCCGTCAGTCGTCTATTTCGAACATATTGAAACTCGCTAGACTTCTGCAACATGAATCGTCCTCGTATCTACCACCAGTCACCCTGGTCTTTCATGGCAGCCGCAACCTTGCTGAATCCAGCAATGTTGCCACCAGCGACCAAGCTGGGGAACTCATCCTCCTTGGGCGTAACATATGTCTTAGCTGTCTGCAAGCAATTCTCGAAACAGTTCTCCATGATCTGCTTCAGCTTCTCGTCCACCTCCTCCGCCGTCCACTTGATGCGTGCCGAGTTTTGGGCCATCTCCAGACCTGACACCGCAACACCGCCTGCATTCGCGGCCTTGCCAGGCGCATACCAGATCCACTTCTCGCTCTTGTGGTTTCGTGCAGCCTCGAAGGTATCGATCGCCTGTTGTGTGCAGCCCATGTTGCTTCCTTCCGCGATGTATTTGCACCCAGCCTTGATCAGACCTTCGGCTTCTTCTCCAGAGACTTCATTTTGCGTGGCCGAGGGTAGAGCCACATCTACGTCGCCAACGTGCAGCCAGGGCCGTACTCCTTCCATGTATTTCACCTTGTCGCTGAATGCGGATGTACTGGCAGCCTCGGACAGTGCTTTCCGATCCAGCTTGAGCTTCGCAATGGCTTCGATCAGCTCTGCGTCGATGCCCTTGTCGGTTGTGGCAATGATGGAGCCCTTGCTGTCGCTAAGAGAGAGGACTGTGCCGCCGAGCTCGATCACTTTGAGAGCAGCGAATTGGGCGACATTACCGGAGCCCGAGATGGCCACCCTCTTGCCAGAGAAGGACTCGGAGCCACCAGAGGCGTATTTTATCATATGTTCGACATACTGTTGGCATGTCAGCTGCGACACTCTCTCAAGACGTCCGGATCACCCACATAGACAAGTCCGTAGCCGGTCGCTTCAGGTCGGATCAGAGAGCCACCCCAGCTGCCTGCGCTCCGTTAGTGCCTTTCCAACCACTCCATGCCGCGTAAGCCATCGACTTGCCTCCTTTTCCAGTCAGAATGCCCTCCCACAACTTTGTCTGTTTCTTGTATTGTCCAAACATATAGCCGACTTCTCTTGAGCCAACACCGATGTCACCAGCTATCCACAGGGTCAGCCTGCTGAATCGAGAAAGTGGTCGCGTGAGCCCTACCCGGAACATCTGTGTCCGCCCCAATGTGTTTTCCCAGCTCAGACATAAAAGATTGGCAAAACCGTCGAATCTCGTTCTCTGACTTGCCCTTGGGATCAAAATCCGCGCCACCCTTGCCGCCGCCCATGTTCAAGCCGGTCAACGCATTCTTGAAAATCTGCTCGAAGCCCAAAAACTTCAAGACCGAGAGGTTCACAGTGGGGTGGAATCTGAGACCACCTTTGTAGGGTCCCAGAGCTGAGTTGAATTGGACGCGGTAGCCACGATTGACTTGGAGTTCACCCTTGTCATCTTCCCAGACCACGCGGAATTGGATGATCCTCTCCGGGATCGCGGCAATCTTCAGCGCCTTCCTGTATTCTGGGTTCTTCTCGAAGAGCGAAGAATTCTCCAGCGTTGAGGAAAGCTCCTTGTAGGCCTGCTCAAACTCGGGCTCGGAGGGGAGGTTGGACATGTTGGCGGCGCTGAAGGAGTGCTTCGTAAAAGAAATGACGTGTGTCTGGAGAAATCGGCGCAGGCAAGCTAGAGGGCTGTGAAGGGAACTGTCGCACTGTATCACTCTGAGACACAGTAGAGAAGAAAACCTTGATGCTTCACCAGGCGTGAGGGAGCTTTTTGCTTCTGCGATTTCACCCGCCTGGCCGAGTCTCGCATTACTCTCGAATGGGATACGTCAACAATTCTGGATTGGATGGGTGACGACACCTGAAGCAATCATGATGCATGTGCATCTGCCAGGGCACAGCAAGTACAACGCTTGCTTATCTTCTTCCGTAATAGGAGAGGCACAAATGAACACCGAGGAGGCACTCGCAACCATCGTATCGAAATCTTTCCTTTGGAGCTGGTGTTGACAAAATTCTAGGACACCAGCAGAGACACGCCCGTGATTGGTTCGATAAGGACGAGGTGTTTTGATAGACCTCTGGTGGGGATAGTTTCAGTGCTAATGACGATGAATTGCTGTACGGGGAACTTGATTGCACCATGGATTGCACGCCAGGGTCTAAGCTCTTGCGCCTATCCAGGTCGAGCTGTGCGGAGAGGTTCTCGGTCTGCTGGCTCCGTGCAGATTCTGGAGATCCGATGTCGCTTCCTCTGCGCCACACTGGGTAGGATGCACGGCTTTTGACGGAGGTGGCGTTCAGTCCAGACTCACTTCGCCACCAAAAGCAACGCCTTTTGCAAGGACATGAGCAGCCAACTAGTGAGCCGGTGGCAATGGCCTACAAGTTAGAGATACAGTATTGGGGACCAAGAGCACAATAGCTAAGCGACAAAGCATCCCACGCCCAGGAGACTCTAACCCGTGTCCGTTGCAGATGCCACCCGTGCAAGTAAGGAACAACGGCCACTTGCACACGTGAAGCAACAGAGTTTGTCCTGGAAAGTTCCTGTGACTACGGAAGAACACCATCACGCCCTTAGCAGCAAGAGTCGAGATCACTGTCCTACATAGTACAAGCCCTTCGCCTCCGGAGAAAGCACCGGATGGAAAAGGTGGACTGAAAAGTTCGGATGCAATGGTAACCCGTAGAACGGGGAGCATTGGGACTGTCCGGCGGCAGCCTTGTCCTCCGTTTGTCTCCGAGGTTGAGTCATAAGGTACACAGCGGAGCCTCAGGCGTTGAAGGTTTAAACATGCCAAAAGCAACTCTAGACCACAAAACACGAGACTTGGTCGGGGCTTGTTTGATCTGAGTTTCTCACCTGCATGAGGGTCCATCGCAAGACGGCTTTTTGTAAACCGCTTAGCCCAAAACACACCACCGCAGCTGAAGCACCATGTCCAATCCGAGTCCTTCGTTTTCTATTCAGCCTGTGCGGAATGCCATCCAGCTGGCAGATATCATCTCCCTCTTCTACGCATATGCCGCTTCCCTAGGTTTTGACCTGGCTTTCCAGGACTTTGATGGTGAAATGGCGAGCATGCCAGGAAAGTACTGGCCGCCCGAGGGTGAATTGTTGCTTGCCCGAGACGAGGCTGGGCTGGCCATTGGGTGTGTCGGATTGCGTTCCTTACCAGCCACGGAGGGGACCGCAAGAGTCTGCGAGATGAAGCGGCTGTATGTCTCGCCTGCAGGAAGAGGGAGTGGTGTTGGAAAAGCGCTGGCCTCGACAATCATCGCGACGGCGGAGAAACTGGGGTATAGCGAGATGAGGCTGGACACACTACCCAGTATGGTTGCTGCTCTGAATATGTACCGAGCCCTCGGGTTCGAGGACATTCCCGCGTACTATGAGACGCCCTTGGAGGGAACACATTTCCTCGCACTGAAGCTCCCCTTGCAGAAGGCCGGTCCCGTGTCGATACCGCGGGATGCGGGCTCGTACATAACATAAGACGGTCCGCCGTGCCACGAACACAGCCAAGGTTCCTTGCCCTTTATTTCAAGGCGACTGCGTTCTTCTGCTCCCACCTTCTCACCGCAGCAAGAGCTGCCGTGATCTTCATGCCGAGTCGAGCATCAAGTTCATATTTCTCCCAACCTTTCGCCTTCTCCAGATATCCCTTGACTTCTTGTACTAGCTTTGCGTCGTGCTTGAGATCCACGACAGGCATCTGCTCTGAAGGATCTCGTGTGAATTTGCTTCCATGTTGTAGGACGTAACCAGTTCTTTGCATCCAAAGGTTAACGGCCATTTCATAATGGGCCGTTGGCGCCATCCAGTCATCTTTGTTACCACCTTTGAACTCGTAAGCGGTTTGGTGCACGAGCTTCTTTTTCAAAACCTCTTGTGACTCGTCGTGCCGGCGCATATTTCTAAGAATGACAGCCCTCAGGACGTCGAGGATGGCATATTCATCAGTGTCCTCCTTCTCCCATTGCGACCTCGTCTCCGACCAGGCTAGGTTGTCCAAGGAGTCCTGTAGCTGTGCTTCGTTCATCTTCTTGAAGCCGTTCCAAAAAAAGATCATCTCATCAAGCGGACTGACCCCGACTGCGTCGACAAAACTGCAGCCCCATCTTGCTGCACGCTCTTCCCACTTGGAGATCTTGCGCACAACAAACAGATCGAAGGGGAGCTGTCGGCCCATCATCTTCTTCCTTCCGACCTTGGTAGGAGCAGTCTTGAACAGCTCCTCCGCCAGTTTCGCATGTTTCTCCTTGTCTTTGGCGGATAGGGACTTGTCGTACCGGTAAAGGCCAAGGTGTGCAGAGGCCGCGATGTAATAATACAAGGCACGAGACCACGCATTGAGGTCAACACAAGCTAGCATGGAATCAGCGCATAATTGGTATTTGTGGGCGTGCATGGCGCTTAAACTCTTTTCGAACATGTGCAGCGCTTCGATCTGCTTGAGCTGGCTCTTGCCTGGGCGGGCGAGGATGGACAATGCCTCGTCGAGATTTCTCTTTGATGCCTCTGTCCTTGCTTCTTCCACAATCCAGAGATGACTGTTGGGGTACCGTCTTCGCATTTCCACGAGGAGGTTCTCAAGGCGTTTCGCAGGATAGCCCTCCACATCATCGGGTATCGAGGGGTCCGTGTCTGAGACAATGTCACAGAAACCGACTATACCGTTGTACCAACCGAAGAGAATAAGACTGGCCATGCCACCATTGACGTTGGAGAATCTGCTGGCTTGCCACAACATCCGGATACCGCGTTCACGATCGCCACGGAACCCCACGATGTACAGCAGCTTGCTGAAGGCCGGAGGAATGATGGAAATCAGGAGGTTCAGGAGCCCGGACATAAGATTCGTACCGGAGTGGATGAACACGTCAAGGGGATTGGAAAAGACATCAGACTCTGGCCCTTCGGTGAGCAATCCTGAAGATATTGTTGTCGATTTCCTCAGTATGCCCTCGGATTGGAGTTCGCTGGAGGGGTGTGAGAGATTCATCTGCTCGATCTTGATATCGAGTTCGGTCCGGGCGTCATCTTCCACATCCGTTTCTAGGTGCCCGTTGTAGCCTTCTGTCACCACATTGCTGTCATCCACTTCATGAAATTCGTCGTCAGAGTCTTCTTTCTCTGTCGCATCAGCGGTTTCGGCATGCCTCAGAGCAGACGGATGAGCCGGCTGGACGGACTGTGGTGCGGTGGCTTCACTCCGTTCCAGTGTCGATCGCTCGGACTTGCCAGAATAAGATGACGGAAGGCTCTCGGTCGACTGGTCTCGGGACGAGCTGCTTGCAGGTCTCTTCTTCATAAAGTTTGCCTCCATTTGTACAATGCTGTCCAGGGTAATATATGCTTTCCTGAGCTTGTAAAATCCCCGTATGGATTCAGTTAGACTCTCATTGAGAACGCCCACAACGGCCGACATTATCTGTGCTTCTGCCTGGCACAGGACGAATTCGGTGCCTTTGTCATAGATGGTGGAGTTGAATGACCGAGAGTCGTGCTGGGCTTTTGAGTGACTTGCCGAAGCGCTCGACTCGGCTTCGTACAGCATCTCGGAGGCCTCTTTCATGAATTCCTGCTCGAAGCCCAAGGCTGCCTTCATGAATGCCAAGGTCCCTTTGGCCAGTTTGTGGAAGGACGAATTGCCTTCAGCTAGCCCTTTTTCAGCGCCCTTGATGTCGTCGTCCATGATAAGCTCAACAGCTCGCATGGCTGCTTCCAGATTCTGGGATTCCTCTAGCGAATCCAGGCTCTGAGTTGAGGCATTCAGAGACGACCGTCCCCGGTCGAACCATCGTCCAACCCTGTGCATAGTGAATCTGATGGCGGATTTCCGGAGGCAACCGGCAAGAATATGTACAGGTCTTGTATCTAGCAGGCTCCTAGCCAGCACATGTACAAATTTCCAAAGCACCCAGGGAGGAAGGGTCTTCAATGTTCAGGACGAGAAATGAGGGTGAAAGGCACGGGTCAGCTCCAGGATCGAAAACCAGGCATCTGGCTGATTTGTTGTGGCCCCCACGTGCTCATGCACTTCACACGGCTCGCAAGCAGCATGAATTGATCCGTTTGCCTCCAAGGATCTCTTGATGACGATACGAGGTACAGAGAAGGTCATTGTGGAGTTGCGTTATGCCGGCAATGCTGCATCGCGTGCCCTTGTACTTGAGCTCTCAGGCCCCTGATCGATTAGGCGCACTCCTACCCCAAAGGCCGTGGTGCCCAATTAAGTGCCTAGCTAACACACCCAGTCATTAAGAGTGCAGCTTTTCCGAGCCACTCATCGTCGGTCCCGCGTGTACGAGGAGTGGCCATCAGGTACGCAGGCACCAAAACCGCATGCGCATTCAATTCAGGCTCGTCGTCACCGCCCTGTACTCAACTCTTCAAGTCAAGTCCACACTCCGCTGTCATAAACGTCTTCCGACCCGTTAAGACTTGTTCACACCGAACCCTCCTTTGCGACGCACTGGTACTCATTCCGCTTCTCGGCTCTCTCTGTCTCCTCTCCGGACGTGTTAACCCACACCTCGATTGCGTTCTCGCTTCGTTGAGTGATCCACCATGTCGTCCAATCCACCAACCGCAAAAATGCAGCCCACGCAGACCGAGAAGACTGAAGTAGATCCGGCGAAAGCATCAAAGACTGCCACAACCCAGCCGCCGGCAATGCTTGAAGAAGACGACGAGTTCGAAGATTTCCCTGTTGAAGGTACGCGGAGCTGATGGAGGTTTCCTTGAGAAGGATACACAGATCTCTGATAACATACAGACTGGTCGCAAGAAGATACTGAAGTCCCAGGCGGGACCACACATCTCTGGGAAGAGAGTTGGGATGACGACGATGAGAACGAAGATTTCAGCAAGCAATTGAAGTATGTACAAAACAACTGCCGGCCTCGTGCCGTGAGGGACGCTGACCGGTACGCAGGGAGGAGCTCAAGAAAGTTGAAGCGGATAAATAGTCTTCATCAGCATCAAAGCATTGCATTCAAAGGGTGTCCGGCATCGCGAAGGAGCGACAAGGCAATAATATCGGCATGTTTTCATCTACGTCCTGCAGAAGAGAAAACCGTCATACAACAGCGTTTTGCTTGTTCTCGGGCTCAGTCACAAGTTCGGCTTTGCGATGCCGCTTGCTTCAAATCTGAATCAATCATGCCCGTCCCGACAGCGAAAAAGTGCGCTACTTACTGGACAGAGCCGACACACCAGGCAAATCCTTACCCTCAAGCAACTCCAGGCTTGCACCACCGCCAGTGGAGACGTGGCTCAGCTTGTCCTCGACCCCATATTTTGCCGCAACAGTGGCCGTATCACCTCCGCCGATGATGACGATCTTCCCGTTCCCAGCTGCTGCAACGGCGGCATCTAGAGTCTGTTTGGTACCATTTGCGAACTTGTCGAATTCGAAAACACCAGGAGGGCCGTTCCACAAGATTGTTTGTGCCTCGTCGATAGCTTGTTTGTACAGATCAATGCTCTTGTCGCCGCAGTCAAGACCCATCCAGCCGTCTGGAATACCCTCAGCATCTGTAGCTGTCCCGGTCTGAGCATCCTTGTCGAACTTGTCCGCGGTAATATAGTCCACAGGTAGGACGATCTTAACATTGTTCTTCTTGGCCTTTTCGACAAGTTCAGCAACCTTCTCACTTCCGGGTTGATCAAACAAGCTGTTTCCGATCTTGACACCTTCCAAAGTCTTCTTGAATGTGAAAGCCATACCACCGCAGATGATTAGGCTGTTGACTTTGCCAAGCAGATTGTCAATCAACTGAATCTTGTCTGACACTTTGGCGCCACCAAGGATTGCGAGGAAGGGCCGCTTAGGGTTCTCGAGGGCTTGAGCAAAGTAGTCGAGCTCCTTCTTCATCAGGAAGCCTGCGGCCTTCTGAGGTAGGTCCACGCCAACCATCGAACTGTGAGCACGGTGAGCCGTTCCGAAGGCATCGTTGATGTATACATCACCCAAAGCTGTCAACCCCTGGCGGAATTTGGTTACAGCATCCTTATCTGCCTTCACCTTCTTGCCTTCGGCGTCCTTGGAGCTTCCCTCCTCTTCAGCATGAAAGCGGAGATTTTCCAGCAGAATGACTTGGCCTCCGCTGGCCTTGTTCACCGTCTCTTCCACCTTGGGACCAACGCAGTCCTCTGTGAAGATCACGCTCTTGCCTAGGAGCTTCTCAAGCTCCGGGACGACAGGACTCAAGCTGTATTTCGCGTTCTTCTTGCCATCCGGCCGACCGAGGTGGGACATGAGGATGACGGCTTTGGCGCCGTGGTCGATGGCATACTTGATAGTAGGAAGTGCGCCGACTATCCTCTGCGGATTCGTAACATGTTTCTCGCTGTCGAGAGGGACGTTGAAGTCGACTCGGATCAAGACGCGCTTGTCTTTCAGGTCGACGTCGGTGATGGAGAGCTTGTTTGAGAGAGACATGGTGGATCGGTGGGCTACGACTGGGGTGTGACTGAGGAATGATAGAAGGAAAATACAGTAAAGAGCAAAAGTGACTCGAATGAGCTTTGAACGCTGAGAAGAAATTTGGTCTCCTCTTGGACTTCTCGGAGCCACGGAGGGGTCAAATCGGGTTGGGCAACAGCATGAGGAAACTGGTGGGGTGATTCACAGAACATTTCGGAATCCGACGTCACAGCCCACGGCGGTCGCAGCCTTCTGTTAGCAAAGCTCCCTCAGGTATCCTTCACCTTTCGCTTATGCTGGCAAGCCCTGCATACTCACTGGCGCGCGAGCCACACTCCCTCAGAACTGATCAGAGGAACCCAAAAGTCTTGGACAGTCTTGTATCAAGCAATAATAACACATGCGATTGGGAGGCTGCCAGTCGGGGATGGTTTCCTGCATGATTACGACTGGTGATGGCAATCATCTGATGATACTCGAAGATATAATTCCCATAGAGACAGAGAAAGAGAATACAGACATATCTCTTTAAGATCGCCTCATCGAGCGCAAAACTCGACGCAATGCGGCGTGCATAATGTATACGAAGTGTTGTCCATGCTGACTGGTGGGAGGATGATCATGCGGACTTCCGCCAGACCCTGAGACAGAGTCGAGACACAGCCTTCTCCTCCCCTACAAGCCACTCATTGAGCGCTTTCCACCGCCGACACCTAAACAATCACCAATACAGCAGACTCAAATTTGGTCATCAGTTACACGAGACTGCGCACTTGAAATCGCGTCGTTCGACGTTCTTTCTGTGGCCTCGGAGCGAGAACGACTCCACCTGACGCTCTGTTCGGTGCTGCCTGCGACCCCGATTCAAATCCCTGGCGTCACTGACACATTTCATTGACCTCATAGCCTTGATCAACGAGACTCCTCCTTCCTTTCCCTTTTTCTCCGTCTTCCTTTTGATTTCCTCTTTTCACAATGCTGGAAACCTCAAGGCGGAAATCCCTGGCCTGGCTGAACAGTCGTTACATATATGGAAGAATCGTACGTTCAGTGTTTTCACTTCGCAAGACCTCGTTTGCATGCTGATTGTTCAACAGCCATTGTTACACGCCCTCATTTTCCTCGTCGAGTTAGCGATGGCTGCCCGACTTATCGCCAAATTCAACTCCTACTATGCACAGAAGCCTGTGCTCACGACCATGATCACGAATGCGGTACGTGAGATGCGGTGTGATGGTCGGACAAAGTTTGACAGGACCAGGTTCTTGGTGGAATCGCAGACACAGTCGCGCAGTCGATTACCGCATTCCGGGCGAGACAAGCAATGCTTCCTAGCACGACCGATTCAAGATACCTCATCTCCTCCGGCGTTGAACTCGAAGACCTCAACGAGAAGCCGGCGAGCCTGTCTCCTGACCTGGCTCCTCGTAGAAGTGGCCCGCAGCCTTTCGATTTCGAACGCCTGACTCGGTTCATGTCGTACGGTTTCATCATGGCCCCCCTCCAGTTCCTGTGGTTTGGTCGACTCACAAAATGGTTTCCGATCGGACCCAAGAACGGGAACACCCAAGCATTGAAGAGGGTAGCCATGGATCAGCTGATCTTTGCTCCCGTCGGCCTTTCTTGCTTCTTCACATTCATGACAGTCACCGAAGGTGGAGGGAGAAACGAGGTTGTGACAAAATTCAAGGACATCTATCTCCCTACCCTGAGGGCAAACTACATCCTCTGGCCTGCGGTTCAGATCATCAACTTCCGCCTCATGCCTCTTCAGTTTCAAATCCCGTTTGTCAGTACGATTGGAATTGCCTGGACAGCATATCTGAGTTTGACCAACTCGAGCGAGGATGAGGCACAAGGGCTTCAGTGATGGCGTTCAGAAATATCAGCTTTATCAGCGAGTAGATACCCTGCGATCAGCATCAACGGCGTTTGAGGTGGAATGATCATCATGAGATGTACACAGCCAGGGCGCGAGCTCATCAAATGAAACAGAATATTGTTACTCGTTCACCCCGGTCATCAGCAAACCATCCTACAATGCCAGGCCTGGCGCGCGCAATGACATCCGTAACTGCAGTCTTACAGATTGCCATATCAACGCTGTATCCCGGGTCTCATGCAGACTCTAACTTTAATTGTTGCTCCCTTTCGCTTCTACTCTCCGAAGGCCGGAAATCTGTCCGAAGAAATGGAGCTCGCCGCTGCCTGTCCCCAGCGACAATCAAATGAAAACGTGCCTACCGGTCTTGTTCACACGCAATTTTCGATGACCTTCTCATCCTTAGCCTTGGGGGGAACCACGAATGGGGTTCTGATTGTGGGATTTAATGCCAACTCCCAGGTAATCCATCAACACGAATCAGAAGATGGAAATCCGGAGGCCTCGCTAATCTGATCGCTATGGGCCGCCAAAAATGCAGACAGCGATGCCTAGCCGTTCAAGCTGCTACACACATCCGAGGGTACAACCAGCCACTCGCTATCTACACTGCCAGTCGCTCTACTGAGGTGTGTCATCGAGAACGCTATTGGAAACCTTGTCCCTGGTGATTCACACATATATTGTCAGGCATACGCCTGAAGCATTAAAACAGCTGGAGGAGGCCAGTAACTTGTGGCGCGCTGGGTGTTGGCAGTCACGGTATGACGGGATAATGCGAAGCCTATGAATGGATGCGGCTATGCTATGAAAGCCATCACTCTCGTGAAGCCATCAATGTTTCATTTCTTGACTACCTTGTCAAAATTCTACGCAGACACCTTTGTCAGAACTCCACCACCCCGAAAATGCGCCCATGAACCTCTAATTGCCCGAAATGGCCGTAGGCAACTGAGTCCTGACTTGATGAAAGATCTAAACTCGCTTTCACAACAAGTTCTCCCCTTTCTCTGCCTTCATCTGCCCGTACTTCTTCAATCGAATAGCCTGGACCTTGATGAAACCGCCGGTCTCGGATGGCTCGAAGCTGCCGATCTCATCCATGCTGGACTCGCTCTCGTCGTACAGCTTCTCGGACTGCGATGACCGGCCCATGATGATGCAGTTGCCCTTGTACAGGCGGATGCGGACCTGGCCGTTCACGCTCTTTTGGGACTCGATGATGCTTGCTTCTAGGAACTCGCGCTCAGGGGAGAAGTACAGGCCGTTGTACAAGACGCGGGACCAGCTGATGGTGACGAACTGGTCGCGCAAGGCACGGATTTCGCGGTCGAGCGTTAGGCCTTCGAGGTCGATATGGGCGGCGCGGAGGATGGTGAGACCGGGTGTTTCGTAGCAGCCGCGGCTCTTCAACCCGATGAAACGGTTCTCGACAATGTCGATGCGGCCGACGCCGTGTTTGCGGGCGAGCGCATTGGCAGCCAGGAACAGCTCGGTGGGATCTGTCTTTGTGCCTTGGGAGGGCGAGCTGATCTTCACGGGCAGACCTTTCTCGAAGTCGATCGTCACATCTTCGGGTTCATTGGGCGCCGAGAGTATCGGATCGGCGGTCAGCTTCCACATGTCGGATGGCGGTGCAGTGTTCGGGTCTTCCAGGATGCCGGCCTCGTAGCTGCAGTGTGCTAGGTTCTCGTCCATGCTCCAAGGCTTCGATTTTGTCGATGTAACTGGAATTCCCTTCTTCGCAGCATAGTCTAGCAGATCGTTTCGACCCTTGAACGTCTCGTAGAACTCGGGAATGCGCCAGGGCGCAATGACCTGGATAGAAGGTTGCAGGGCATAGAAGGCGAGTTCAAATCGGACTTGATCATTGCCTTTTCCGGTACAGCCATGGGAGATAAACTGACAGCCCTCCTTCTGGGCAACTTTGACCTGAGCGCGAGCGATGACGGGGCGCGCAAGAGAAGTTCCCAGCAGGTACACGTTCTCGTATGAGGCGTTGCATTGGATGGCTGGGAAGCAAAGCTCGCGGACGAACTCGTCGATGACATTCTCGACTGCACGGCTGTCAGTTTCTGGTGGTCCCGTCATGACGAGACACGGAGCATACCGTAGCATTGCTTTGCTCCGATCTTCAATGCCTTCTCCTTTGCGGCTTCGAAGTCCTCTTCCTGCCCGATGTTCGCCATAAAGCAGATGACATCGTAGCCTTTTTCAATCAGCCAGGCCAAGATACAAGATGTATCCAAGCCGCCTGAGTACTGTCAACATCGGTTAGTGTCTAGCCGGGGCGGTTGGCCGGGATTGCAACGAAAAGGTGACCACTTACGGCCAGACAGACGCGTTGTTTCTCAGGCATGATGTCGTGTGACAGCAGTGTCTTGAGGATAGAGTCAGTAAAAGAGGATCGAAGCGACCTGGCTCGTGGCGCTCGAGCAGGTCTTCTTAAGACTCAGGAAGCGCTCGGTCCCGCGAAAAATTTTCAACTTGCAGCCTCGTGAGCAGGTACCAGACCACAGACCACAGCTACCAAGCGATCAATCACTGGCGGTGAAATTGTGTCATATCCTAGCGAGCTGCGGAAAAATTACAGAAAATTGTGGGGGAAGCATCAGATAAGACACGACCAATCGATAGTTTCTCCTGCTGCTGTGTGGAGACGTGTTATTCCACTTTGGGGATGCTGCATTGACTTTCTTCTCTCTTGCACGCCCTGCCACTCCTGCCTCGTACAACACCTAGGTACCGACGTAGGTAACCAAGTTTCGTTCATACTCTGGTGACGCTCGGTTGTGTTTCCAGTCTCTTGGTCCCAACCCGTAGCAGCTGTTTCAAGCCCTCGAACTTCTGGGCCATCCCAAGGCTGGTACGTAAGGTAAAGCTGATAAGTAGAGCTCTAGAGAGGCCGCGAAACCAGTACTTGGGAGCACAAGTCATTCCGCCTAGGCCAATCTGAAAACAATACCGGTTACGTAGCGATACCTGTAACCACAGCAGATCATGGTGATTATGCTGTCTCGGGTCATGGGATAGCGTTCATATGAACTTGACCAAGTAGCAAGAGATTGATAAGGTGGGATTGCAACTTGCGCAAGCAGTCGGTCGGTCAATGGAGTGGCATGTTGGAAGCGATATTTGAAGGCTGCGGGGACGCCGCAAGTTGTCATAGCATTCTTCGCTTTGACAAGTTGATCTTATCCCTCGACCAAGGTGCCCAATTTCATCTTTCTTCTTCAAGCCAAGAGCCGAACGCGTCCAGCCGGCCTCCCTCCTCATCGTCTTCGTCGTCATATCCCACTTTCTTGTCGCTCGATTTCTTGAATTTTTCATTGCCTGTCGCTATATATGCTTCCAGCTGTCTCTCGTCGAACCATCGTCCATTCATGAGCTGTGGGACATTAACTCTGTGGTCAGTGAACAGGAGTAAGAGAGACGCACGCGCACACAAGCAGCAGCAGCATCGGCATTTGAGAATCGCACACTCGCAACACCCTCATCTTCTTTGTCGAAGAGCACGACATTTGTAACTTCGCCGAGCTTTGCGCATTCATCTCGGATGTCCTCTTTAATCTCAAGCATGGCTGCTGGATCCTCCTGTTTCATGTCAGACTGTTTCTCGGAATTGCGGTCATGCTTCAAACCTCCAGCTCCTGCAGAGTGAACATGTGCTTCAGGATGACGACTTTATCCCATTTGGAGCTCGTCTCGTTCAGTGTTTGAGGGTCATCGTCGTCCCAGTCGGTCAATTTGCTACAGCTGATCAGTCTAGGACGTCGACGAATGGGGCTGACGTACGCATTCATCTTGGCCGTTCGCTTGATTATCTTCTTCTTATCCTTGTTGCTCGTCTTGGCCGGCGCATCCTGTTGACTCTTGTACGAGAAGTCCGCAGCCTGCACCCTCATCCTGCCGGCCGGCCCTTGTTCGCCCAGCCGGAAGTCTGTGTCGTCGAGCATCTGGACAGCAAGGTCGACAGATTCTGGGCGAAAATACACCACGAGCGCGTCGCCCTTGAACTGACCCTTGTCGTCCTCATACATCTTTATCCGTGGCTTCCCTGAGTCGATCTCTTCTGCGATGACGCCGCACTTGGAGAAGACGTGTTGGATTTCTTCCTGGTCGGCATCAAGTGGGAGGGAGGTGACGTAGACCGCGGTATTGACTCGAGCTTTCTTCGGTTTGCTGCCGGACTGGTGACACTCTCAGCGCTTGCTCCCGTGCATACTGGCGTTACACATACCTCATCGCCATTGGGTTGTTTCCGCTTCTTCTTTTGCTGCACAGTCGTGGTAGCATCGTCGTCGACTCCTGGAACCCTGTAGATTTGGCTTTGTTGATCCAATAGTGTCTGGTCCAGCTACAACGAAGACACAACATCCAGGAGGTTAGAATCTGTTCCATACCCGGCGGTTCAACCGATGTATATGCTTGCAGTCGGATATGTCTGGTGCTTGCGATTTGTAGCCTACCACTGGAATCCATCTTTTCAGAGCAGTGTCCCACTCGAACTCATTGCCCTCTTCGGTTTCGAGAATGAATTTGTTGTCGAGCCTCGACCACGATACGCGAGGGTCGGCATCAAAGTCGGCGGGGTCTTGAGGGAAGCCCGTTTGAATGCCTTGGGGCGGAATATCCTCATCGGCCATTGGAGGCGTCTTGGAACAAGCAGGTGGTTTCCAACAGAAGACGCGCAGACAAACAATGATGTAGGAGAAACAAGCTGTGGGTGGGGAAACGTCAGCCTTGTCATGCAATATTCAGCCTTGCCGCGTGAGTCGAAATTCTATCGGTGAGAAGAGAGTATACCGAGTACCCTGTCGATCATCGATCACCTACGGAAGTCTGTGATTGATTACTGGATAGACGGCGCGTTTAGAGCTCGATTCACTCGTGCAATTCCATTACTCAGTCCAAATATTCCCCGATGCGATGACGTCGAACACCTTCATCGTGTGCTCCCAGATCTTCTCGCCCACTCCCCCTGCCCTGTACTTCTCGATCATCTTTGCCTTGTGACACGTTTCTCCATCTATGTCGACCGCATACGCACCACTGCCAATCTTGCCGTCGGTCCCCGTTGCGACCACTAGGTTCGGCGCACCAGCAGATGCAGCCTTTGTGGGCTGATCTCCACTTCCTCGACATGCTGGAAACCTTTGCGGAGATGCAAGGAACAAAGTCCTCTCGCCAGATTCGGACACAGGCGTGGCAAAAACACTCAGAATAGGTCTGAAGATCCTAAACATCAACCTGCCCCACAGAGGCACCCCTGGATTCTGGAAAGCCTTGGTCATGACCATGCCTGGGAACAAATGTACCAGGCTGATCTTGCCCCGATGTTGCTCTGCCAAACGTTCGAAGAAGAACGTGTGCATGACGCATACGTGGGATCGGACTGTCAGCATTCCCCAGTGTCGGGGGTCACGGATGGACATGTCGTTGAGATGGAACTCCCCTTCCATGCCGGCAGCAAAAACTGAGATGACGTGTGCAGGCAGGTCAGATGTCAGGAGTAGGGGCAGAAGGTTGCTGATGAAACGCATGCGGGAATAGTATAGCAGTGAAACACGGAACTCGAGTCCTTCCTTGGTGTCTGGCGAGATGATCAGCGGGTATCCGGCTATCCAGCACACGTATACGCACCTCTGCGGGGCGAGAAATTGAAGTCTCCCTGACTCATAAAAAGCAGATCGATCCTGGCAGACTCTTTCCCAGCAGTTTCCCTCTCCGCTCGTGTGATCTCTGAGCAGACTTTGTCGACCTCCTCCAGCAGCGCCAAATCTTTGGCGTGCACGAAGATAAAGTTTCCGTCCGGACATAATCGAGAGCAGTCAGTAAGGATCTCCTCGGTCGGCTCTTTCCTGCGGCCAACAACGTATGCTCGAAGGCCTTTGCCGTGCACACCATTTGCAGTCGCGAACGCTCGTAAGGTGGCCTCTCCAATGCCAGAGGTGGCACCGGCAAAGACTGCTACGAATGGACGGCCTTGGAAAAGAGCCGTATTGGCTGCACGGATAACGTCGAGCTGAACCATGACTTTTGGCTGGCAGATGAACCTGTTGAATTAGGAATGTCGGGATGCAGCAATCAGGGCGCAAGGTCACCAGGACTCGCGACGCCGAATGCGACATGTTAGAGACATGGAGGCCTGCCTTTTATTATATGTAGCGACTCGGTGCACGGAGAAACCATGTCCACCACGCTCGGAGACATCTCTAAGGGTATTTGTCGAGAAGATCGAGAATGAAGCAGACGTCGAGAGTGAACGGGTCGACATGGCTACGTGTCTGGCTTGGACGGATGCTGGAGAAAGCCTGCACAGCCAATAGCAGCAGTTAGAGACGTCCAATGAGCCCGAGACTTTGGCGCCGACTTGCCCTTCGTCCGACCATCCGAGACCGATTGCAAGCACTGTCCTGATTGAGACGAAGCACCTCTTCTCCGTGCGATTGAGCCAAGTGTTTTGATTTCCGGAAGTTGCGCGGGAGAGACGGATCCACTTGTACGAAATTCCCGGCGTAAGAGAGTTCCAGGCTATCACGTAGGATCGTGACTCAATGAAGAGATTAGCAGCGTCGAGTGTGCTGTGTACTGTGTATTCAACCGAATGATTATCAGTTGCGGAAAGATCCAGATTACTTTACTATGTTGCTAGCCTTCCGATATCCCACTAACCCAGTCATTCAGATCGTAAAACAGTTCGGAGAATATGTTCAACTGCTACCAAGATCAACAACCAGGTTGTCGCCTCCTAAAGAGTGCTTTCCTGCTTCACACAACGCCTGATCATGAGATGCGAGGAATTTTCTTCTCTCCTCGAGGCCTTCAACCTTGAAATCGCCGCAAATTGATCATCAGGAGGCTTCTGGCTTCGGCGACGGGAGGGGTGAAGTAGCAATGTCACTGACATCGGACTCCTTGCGCTCATGCATGGGCCTGTCTTGCCGCAAGTCAATGGGCGAGATAGCTCTCCCCACAGTTGAGGTGTGCTCGTCCCCACCTGCTATCTTCCCTTCATGGATTGGTGCGAATCCTGAGCTCGTGAGCACCGAATGCGATTGTGGCGATGCTGGTGTGACGGAGTCGCCGGATTGTGACACCGAGGAACTGGGAACTCCTTGAGATTGACCCACGCCTCCTCCACTGACAACGCTAGGAGGGTACATGGCCATATTGCGGATGTCATAGTTGATGTCTTCAGGGCCCGAGACGCGAGCCGAACCCTCCACCTCATGCACCTCAGTATTCATACCTTCCACCGGACCGGCATAATCATATCGTGGTGAACGAATCTGTGTGGATTGCGACCACCGCTCTTGAGGGGCTCCAGCATCACTTCCCCTGAAGTAACCACCGCCTCCTTCGAGCTCATGAGGCGCCGTTTGCGCCATTGGTCGTGGTGAGTGAGAGCCTTGCTCAACTTCGGTGACAGACGGATCTGTCCCAACGTCCTTGGGAGGCGCATGCGAGGAGGTGGAATAGATCCATGGGACGATCCAGCTCTTTCGGTTGTGTGCCATTTCGGATTGGGCGCCGTCTTCTTGTGCGCGAGCCTGAGCCTTTCTTGCTCGGCGGCAACACAGGAAGATAAGCACGCCAACGAGAGCTCCGACAACGACGACGGGAACCACAACAGCAACAGGAATCACCCAATCGCGGTCTGAACCACCAGATGCAGGAGCTTGAGTTGCTGTGGGCGAGCTGGTGTTCGTGGGCGCAGCAGTACTCTGTAGCTCGAATGGGCCGAAGGATCTGACCTTTGTCATGTCATACTTCCCCTGGAACCAACCGGCAACTGCGCTCGGCATGTTGCTGGCAGTGGGTGTCGCAGAAAGAACATCACGGACAGCTTGGTGTGGTTTGTAGTCGTCATGAACGGTCGGGTCGTAAGTGCCGGTCCAGGTGAAGGTGTTGAGATTGAACACATCCACGCTGTTATTGAAGGTGGGAGGCGTCTCGCTTGATCCTGTGCCTCCAATGACGATCATCTGATCCGGGTACGGCTGAACACAAACGTGGTTGGTTCTTGCAGCGCCCTTCCGGCCAGATGGCTCAGCCTTGATCCAGGTAAATGACGGCACCGACAAAATCCAGACGTCTTCGTTCGCAGTGCCTCCATTGCTGTCCCAACCACCGTAAACGAAGATTTCGTGGTGTGAACCATCGGCACTAGAAGCAATAGTGGTGCAGAATTGCGCAAGAGGTGCTGGAGGAACTTGAGAGCTCGGGTTCAACGGTTGAAGGCTCCATTGATCCGATCCGATGTCGTAGACTGGGAATTCTTTCAAAAACGTGAGTGACTGCGTGGCGTTATCCTGGGGGACTTGGAAGTTGATGTCCGCTGGTTTGACCACGCCACCGATCGCAATCAAAATACCCTGCGTCGAGGTGGGAACCCACACCAGGCCGCCTTCAGCTCTCCATGCGATGTTCTCGGGGAGAGGTGCCTTGATCCAAGTGGCATGACCGAGGTCGTTCATGCGAACGGTTATCAACCAGGCCGACTGATTTGTCGGAGGAGCAAAGTACGAGTATTTGGTGCCATCTTCATTGTACAAGCCGCCGAAATAGAAGGCTGATTCTTCACTGGGTGCATTGGCTCCGGCACCGTTCGTGACCGAGATGAAAGTTCCATCCTGAGGATCGTAGTTGAGGTTCGGCACGCCGAGGTTGATGTTGGAGGCCTCGGGCGCATCATACAACGGGAGGCTTACAGTGCGGTCTTTGGTGTCCAGAGAAGTGAGGACCATGCCGCTGTAGCAGTATCAGTCCACGCACGTGCGATCAACGTCTAGAGTCACGTACCCCCATGCATAGAATTCATTGTAGTCGGCGAACATGTAGCCATCCATATAAAAGTTCTGCACCGCAAACTCGGGAATCGTCTCGAATAATGCTGGGTTGTCGTTGATGTCAAACGATTGATTCATGCTGAGCTTGAATAGCTGGCCATCGGTCGGGTTGACGGTTTCCAACGTCTTCGTATCCCATTCCCCGTTTGTCCAATTCCCGGTCTGTATCCAACCACCTTCGATGTAGACATTGTCCCTGATGAGGGCAGCGCGAGGTCTGTTCCAGGATGCGATCTCATGTGAAGTAAAGTTGGCGACAACAAGGCTAACGAACGGAAGCAGCCATGCGACGTGCTGCAATATGGACGACATGCTTGCAAAGATGAAACAAACCAATCTGCAGTGGAGGAGTTCAAAATCGGACCACGAGGCTCAGGTCGTCTTCTGGCTATAGATACGGCGTGCCATCAGCATGGAGAAGTGTAGAGCCTCCCTTCCTGCAGGATCTACAGTCCCCGCGGCGATGGTAGGACAGCCAGAAGGGTCTAGTCCGTGGCGAAGGTACCAGAACGAGAGCAATCTTCGGCGTCTGTTCCGCCAGTTGAAGTCAGGCTCTCGAACCCCATCCACCAGGTCTTTGAATAGTGAAGAGCCAGACCAAGGTAGGCAAGGGCTAGCAGTGCGTGCATATCAGCTGGTTGCATTATGGCTTGAAAGCCCAGACGCGAGGTCCCCCACTCGACTGAAGACACGGGACGCCGGGCGCAGAGAAACAGGCTCTCTGACCCGGGCGTCGACGTTGGTGAGGTTTCTGGCTGGCGAACAAGGATGCTTACTGCACGCACAGAGCCCGCTGCTTCAATGAATGAGACCGGCCGGATTGTGAGCTAGCGGCTACGCCTTGTCCGTAGGCGGGAAAGACACATCCGATCTGCAAGGGTAGGGGCTCTGCCGACATACTGAGGTACAGACGTTGTGTCACAGCAGCAACCAAGCTGGCCCCCAGCATGGGTTAGAGAACTTGTGAAGTCGAGGCGAAGCAATGACCACGATAGCGGGGCAGCCCCTGGACAAAGTCGCAAGCCGTGCAAGTTCGGGAACCGACAGTGGCAGTCACCCTGAGCAGCAAAATTGCCTGGCAATAATGGTGTCGCATCGGCTGTGAGGTTGTGTAAAGTGAATGAATCCTTCAGGGCAAGTGCTCGAGAGCCGAGCGGAGTCACGTTGTTGCGGTGTTGCTTATTACCCGGTACGGCATAAGGCCACCAGCTCCACCGCAGCAGCGTTATTCGTAAGCCGGGAGAAGATGTGCTGTTCACCTCGTCCTCACTCGTGTCCGCACCAACAGCGAGGCGCAGACTGGGCTCCACCGTGGGACTCCACGCCCAATCACAGCAGACTCGGGCTCACGTGTTCTTTTGTCCGACCTTGCGCTCCAGCCTCAAAACCGGTAAGGTGAACGGGACGCCCTATCTGCCTAAGCAAGCATAGCTGACTCCACTTTACAGTGCAAAATCAACGACCTATCCTGTCTTGTGCCGCCCTCCGAGACCTTCCATTAGGCTGGCGAAACCCGTCGGCATCCCGCGGATTGGGACACGGAGTCAAATCTCATCTGTCGCTCCAAGGAAAATGAGCTCCAGAGCCACGACGATCCGATCGGTATGGCTGTGAGCCGGGACAACGCTGGCTCCGAGCCCTGAAGACATGTTTTCACAGCGAATAATAGGTGGTCAAGAGCCGGAGTCTTCACCTGCACCTGGGCTCGTATCACGGCACTATCTAGCGAGACGACACAGACTTCCAAGGGCATTGGGGTCACCCAATCGAGGTCCGCCTTTCAACCCGACAGCTGTTGTACCGTGGACGCGAGAGAAGGATGACAATTCATTTCACCACGCCACCACCGGTGCTAGACTGTTGATGTCTCCGCATGCTTACCGTACCAGGGAATATCAGCCTCATCCCACTCACCTTACCCGTCGAAAATGCGCCGTTTGAGCGGCTCGACGCCCCTCAGCAGGCTACTCGGCATGATTCTGCTAAAGAGTCAGCGCCATCACAATTTGGGCCTTGCATCGACGTCTCTGGCGTTCGTCCACTGAACGGATTTTCGACCCGCGGTAAATGCAGCTGTTATGGTGCTGCACTTGCTCTGCCGCCAGAAGCGAATGAGCATCGCCGTGGGCTTGCCGCCATTTGTCTGCCCAAGTGACAGCACAAGCCAGGAGGAAAATGTTTGGCCTCGGAGGGATTGCTCTGCCACATACAGCACTCAGTACTGCTCTCTCTGCTCTAGTGGGTACGGCAGACCTGCGCCGGAAGATTCGACGAGACTGGCGGCGCAGATCTTGGTGGCTATCGATTGGCTCTGTCTACGGCCCAAACCTTCGTCGTCCGGCTGGGCAAGATAGTCTTGTTCCGCGAACCCCTGCAGGTGGCTGCACTAGATCATCCCTTCCGCTTCGAAAATAGTGCTATACACGTGCACAACCAGAAGTGGCCCCAATACCTAAGTTGGCCTTACGTGCCTGGCAGGCCCGCAAGCCATCGATCTCACAGTAGCATCGCTTGTATTGGACGACGCTTCCTTTGGTGAGCCATGACGCTGGAGCTCAGGAATAGGAAGGGGAGCTACTCGTACAGAAGCTCATATAACTTACATGGTAAGGATTCCCCTCAAAATCTGTTTTGCTTTTCTTCTTCCAGCAGTCTCTTCAGCCTTGTCCTGCTGACTTAGTCACTCGTTGGTACATTCGTTCAAACTGCAACATGCATGCCATGCGACTCAAGCTTGTTGGCCTTGCTGCCTCCCTCCTCGTCTCGTGGTCCCAGGCCGTTCCGGGCGTCAGTGTTTCTGCTGAGGTTGGCGGCTGGGATACAGTTACGGCGACGGTCACAGTGTCTGTGCCAGGACCAACCGTCACGAAGACAGATACAGTTACATCTTCGGTAGCCGGACCAACAGTTACATACACGGTTACCTCATCAGTTGCAGGGCCGACAGTCACAAAGACGGATACGGTTACCTCGTCGGTACCAGGCCCGACTGTCACATACACTGTCACCAGCTCTGTCCCAGGACCCACAACCACTGTTTCTGGACCTGCTCACACAGATACTGTCACCTCGACGGTTCCAGGGCCAACTGTCACAGACACCGTCACCTCGGCGGTGCCAGGACCAACTGTCACAAAAACTGTCACCTCAAGTGTTGCGGGTCCCACGTCGACTGTTCCGGGACCGACGATCACGAATACCGTCACCTCGACCGTTGTCAGCGCAACAACTATTCGAACTACGGTTGTTCAGCCTACGACCGTCGTTCAGACCAGCACCGTGCTTCAACCTACCACTGTCACCAGCACGACTTCAGTTGTTAGTGCGACGACCATTAGAACCACTGTTGTTCAACCCACCACCGTTATTCAGACTAGCACTGTGCTTCAACCTACCACTGTCACTAGCACGACTTCAGTTGTTAGCGCAACAACTGTCCGAACCACCATTGTTCAACCTACGACTGTTGTTCAGACCAGCACTGTGCTTCAGCCAACTACCATCGTTGATACGACAACAGTCGTCAGCGCAACCACTCTTTCGACCACGGTTGTTCAGCCCACGACTGTTATCCAGACCAGCACTGTGTTCCAACCTACTACCGTCGTTAGCACAGTTGTGAGCGCCACTACTCTTTCAACCACCGTTGTTCAGCCCACCACCGTTGTGCAGACCAGCACCGTGCTTCAGCCTACTACAGTTATTAGCACGACCACAGTTGTCAGCTCAACCACTCTTTCGACCACTATCGTGCAAACCACCACGGTGGTTCAGCCTACCACAGTCCTTCAGCCTACTACAGTTGTCAGCTCCACCACTGTCTCGAGGACGGTTACTACGGTGAATTTGAGCACAATCACCGACACGGTCTCAACCACAATTACGAGAACCTCGACCAACACTGTTTCGACATGCCCAACTTCCGCATCGACCGGAATCGTTACCTGTACCTCTAGGATCGTCAACCCAACTTATACTCCTCCGGCTCCGTTGCCCACTGACTATCTCTGGGGATGCCCCCCTGGAACGATTTGCACGCCGCCTCAAGTTGGCTGCAATTGGGAACAGAACCCCCCTGCTGATACTTACGTGTGCGCTCCCTCGGAATGCAGACCTGCTCCTGCCCTTCCCAACATTACCGACTACAACACGTTGTGGCCCAACCCAACCAACACCACTTGTGCGTGGTATAATCCCACTCTGGGCTACTTCCATCTCAACCCCGAGCATTTCGGTCTCTCGTTCGCGATCTTCAACGTCTTCGGCCAACCGGTATGCCCAACGGAGGCGGAGGACAAGCCCAGGACCGTCGGCTGGGTTGATTGGCTGAAGCCCAGTCCAGCTGCTCCGCCCAAGTTGTCGCGCCGCGTCACTGGCCCGAACCCTCTCGCACAGATCCTGCGTCGCCAGAGTCTTGCTGTCGCTCCTGCAGAGTGCTACGCAGTCTTCGACGCTGCGACCACAGTCGCGGAGAATACTGGCCACGTCTACGACCAGCTTTGCGTTGCCGGTACACCTTTCCAGAACGCCGTCTCTGCCTGCCGATCATGCGCTGCGGCGAACTCTGGCACCTCATCACAAGTTGACAGCTTCCCTGACCTGCAATCTTACTTCACTTGGTGTACGGAAAACGCTCCCTGAACGACACATGCCCTAAGGCGTGGCTTTGGTCCATGAACGACACCATCAAGCCGGCCTTTGACGAAAGCAACCCAGCGGATCCAACAGGATGCAATCGCCCCGATTCTTCCGCCATTGAAGTTGACACAGGGAATCGGGTTGATTGCCCGTCTTCGCGCCGTCCCAGAGCCATCAACCATGGGTTCTCTCCACCATATGTACATAATCATTATATCCCTAATTTTGTTGATTGTTACTGCTCGTGGAGAGATCCCGAGCTGATGCAAAAAGCGATTCCTGCAGGCTGGTTAGCCCCGATGATACCAAGGACCGGTGGATACGAGGAGGAACAACGTCACCCGTTAACGATGGAGACGAGCTGATAATGATAATAGAAAGCGCAAGAAATCTGCCCAGGTCCTCTCTTCCATACAAAGTACATGTGTTGAGTACAAGATTGAACACGTCGATTGTAAACGCCACTCCTCAACGACAGTCTACTACTCACTGGACGAGTGTTGTTTCGTCCTGCCTTAACCCTTCGGCTTTTCTTCTTTGAAGGTGCGCTGATTGCCTGTGAAGACCGGGCGGACTTCGAACAAGCCGTCTCTGGCGCTCTGCTTATACAGTACTCGTGATAACAAATGCTTGGCTGTATCTGGAATGTGGTACTCCGTACAGCACAGGAGATTGCTTGTCGCACCATGCGCCGTCACGTCTTAAAAGTGATGGCTCCTTGTCATATGTAACCCTCAGCCACGTTCGCCGACACCCAGAGACGAGTGGCAGAACCGAATGTCTCCATTCCGGTGCGTTGCAAAAGGCGATATGTACCATTCCTGCCAGATGCGCCGTGACACCTCTATATTTAGCATGGGAGAAATAGAATAGAATAGAATGGTGCATGGATGATCTTTCGGCAGCGACTCAGAAATATTCTATTCTACCCTCTCTCTGCTGTCTTGGGTGCGAGCAGTTTTCTTTCGGTTTTCGAATTCTAGGGGTAATCGTGGGACTCAAGAACAACTGTTGCCTATTTTCGCATAGTTTCGCACGGACGACACAGGTGAAGCGACGTTGGGATAGGCACTGATAGGCACTCATAGGGGTCTTGCATGATGCAAGGCACATGTCATATCTAAATGGTGGCCGGGTCCATGCGATCGTCCCGGTAATGCATGAGAGTGGGCGTAGCCGTGCCGATCTGTTGTGGTTTACTCGTACGAGTACTTATTGCCCTGATGATCCTCGCATCAACCCGCACCATGTCAATAACTACCACGGTGCGCGCGTGGCGATGAGACAACGTGAGGGAACTCCAACGCAGATTAACTGATCGATGGATGGATTCAAGTGGTTTTGTGGTTGCTGAAGCTATATAACATGACCAGAACTTTATATTATTAGGCACACGGGATGCTCAGAAGCTCAAATGTGTGGAACCTGGCGCACACTTTTTCACCAGTGCAGATGATGACACTCAATCTCTCTATTCCCCGGTCCACCTACGGCTCCAACGGTGCGTTCGCTGGCTTTTCTGGGTGCGGCTCGCCGTCGGAGCTGGGAGCATCGCGAGCAGCTGTCGTATCTTGCTCGAGGCCGTTGACGACATCTCGGGAGAGTTCGACGTACTGTGCGTTGGTTAGCTCCGAGACAAATCACGGAATCGAGCGGACACTCACATCGTAGGCAAATTCACCGATTTCGGTCTCGTCCATGCCCATGATTTCTTCCTGCTCGGAAGCACGGAGGTGGAGGCCGGGAATGAAGTTCAGGATGAAGAGAATGATGCAGCTGAGCACGAAAGAGTACGCCATGCCGGTAACACCGTCGCAGAGTTGGTAGGCCAGTTGGATCCAGTGACGGTTGAGCCAGCCGCCGTCAATCTCGGAAAACCCATCCAAGTGAGCGATGTAGTCGGCAGCAAAAAGGCCAGTGAGGAGATCACCGACCAAGCCACCGATTCCGTGAATGGCGAAGATGTCCAGCGAGTCGTCAATGTGAAGCAGGAACTTGAGCTTGGTGGCGTAGTTGCACGCGGCACCTCCCACAACACCAAAGATGACGGCGGACCATGCCGGTACGAAACCGCTACCGGGAGTGATGGCGACCAAGCCGGCGATAACACCACTGCAGAAGCCGACAGTCGACCATTTCCGCTCCAGGCGGTAGTCGAGAATGCACCAAGTCAGACCACCGACGCTGGCAGCCAGGTTGGTCACGACGGCAGCCATGACGGCGCGTAGATTAGCAGCCAATGCTGAACCGGCGTTGAAGCCAAACCACCTAGGACAAATGTCAGTGAGGATTGCAACCAGCTGAGAGAATTTCCATACCCAACCCAGAGGAACACCGTGCCAATAACAATGTGGGTAACGTTGTGGGGGCGGTAGTTCAGTTCGTGAGTGCCATGACCGCGACGCTTTCCGAGCATCAAGGAATAGGCCAGAGCTGCGGAACCAGAGGCAATATGGACGGGAGTACCACCAGCAAAGTCGAGGCCGCCCATGTTGAACACCCACCCGGCGCCGTTCCATGTCCAGCAGGCAATTGGGTCGTAGACAATGGTTGACCAGATGAAGGAGAAGACCATGGCCGGTAGCATACGGCCACGTTCGGCGGCGGCTCCAATTGCGAGCGCGACTGTGATGGCCGCGAACATGCCTTGGTAGACAGCGAACATCAGATCAGGGATCTTGCTCGAACCAACTGATGGAGCTCCCAGAACATTGCGGAAGCCGATGTTCTCGAGGTCACCGATGAATTTGCCGGCAGTGTGGGAGAATGCAAGGGAGTATCCCCAGAAGAACCATTGGAAAGATATCAAGCCTGTTGCAGCAACAGACAGCCATATGAGCGACAGGGCGGATTTGCGTCGAGCAAGGCCGGAGTAGAAGAAGCTGTTTCAGCTGTCAGCGAATGCGGTATGCGTGAGACAGGCTGAAATCTCTTACCCAACACCCGGAATCATAAGAAGCACCAGCGCGGTGGCCGTAATCATCCAAGCGATGTCGCCGGCGTTGTAGTAGACATTGAGATCTTCAGTAAGCGAATCACCGCCAGTCATCGATGTTCCTGCATGACAATCGTGTTAGCCGACTAAATTCCAGGTCGCACAAGATGCCGCGAGGGCAGTGTTGTCGCGCGAGAAAGTATCGTACCCTCATAAGGTTCCAAAGGAACATATGGCAGGGACCCCGTATCGGTCGACATCTTGAAGAGTATTGGATCTTGTCAACCGTCGCGAGAAGCTGATGTTCGACTGTTGTCGGGAAGAGCAATCTCCTGGATGAGACTCAGGGGCTCGTAGGCAGCGTGACGAGACAAATGCGCATCAACACGAGTCGGTTTGCAGGTGATATCGTGAGAGTCGTGTGTCGTGTGCACAACGCTCGAGCACGGAAGGATTGCGACCGTCGAAGGAGTGAACAGGTGGTCGGAGGGGAGAGAAGGGAGGGGTGGAATATGAATTGGATCAGGTAAAAGGAACGAATATACTTAGCACGTCGTACGGATAACAAAGCAGTGAAGTCCCACCTGGTCGCCGTATCACGCCTGGGTGAGCACGATCGGGCTCAAGGCGCCACTTGGCAGACCCACGCAGAGATATCAGGCTCGAACCAACGGGTGAAGTTTCGACAGACTCTCTCGTGGCTGCGTGGGCCAGAGATAATTGGTAGCGTGGGGAGGCGCCGGGAAGGGTGGTAGAGTTCAGGGCATTCGGCGGGCTGAGGCCCTGGACACGTCGGGAGACACAGGAAACCACTGTGATTGAGTACGAGGAGGCCACTGACGGACGCTATTTTCACGAATCAACCTCGTGTTACAGAAATGCAGGTCAAAGGGCTGTTGTGCGCCTCCTCTGCACAGGCACAGCCTGGGCGAAACCCAACGCCGCCGACATGATGGAGCAGCTCAACGGAGCAGCCGCCTCTTCTGACCTCCCTCCTTCGCCAGTAAGGCCACCGCTTTCCTTTGGAACAACTCATACCGGAACCCACACTGACTGGTAAGCTCATCGCTTCTTCCTTCTCGGTCGACGGTGTTGTCGAAGTGCTCGTGTTGTGTACACGTCCATCGGCCAAATTTATCCGCTGTTCAAGGCTGCCTCGTGTCTCTCGCCTAGGCACCGCTTGAATCGAAGCTACTCGGTTCAGGCACAAGCGCTAAACCGGGGCCCTTGTATGTTCATTCCTGGGCGAGATAAGCTACTGGCATCCAATTGGGTCTCCGGGCAAACGCCCTTGATCCGAGCTTGCGGGAAGCTCCATGTGGCTTGCAGAGTATCTCCACACAGATAAGAAATTGGATCACTTCTGGTCTCGTCCACATCGCTTCTCTGCTGCCGAGACTACCAATTCCTTCACACTGAAAAGTGTCGCACCACCACTGCGCAAATTGACCTTTGGTGTTGAGCACGAGACTGTCACAATACGTGGTCTGCATTCAAACGGCACAAACGTGCCGGTCCAGACTGATCCAGTGAGCATCTGTGTTGGCATTACGAGAAGCAAGGACATACACAGACCTTCTCTGATGGTCTTGTGTTGATGGTACTCGGTATCTCTGGGCGATGAGCTAATCCAGGTTGACTTGGCTATTTCCCCAGATTTTCGTGCCAGCGACGCAAGTCCCAAGCATCTGATTGTCAACTCGGGTCCGAGCCATCCGTTTCGCAGAGTTCTCATTGCCCCGTCTGTTTAGGAGCTTTATGAGTTGGACGTTCCAAGCCGCCTCGACGTATGGGTACCTGTTCCTCGCTCAGCTTGAGATGGGAAAGAGGATGATACAATAGTCGCCTCGCGAGTCCCCGCCTCAAATTCGTGATGACACCCGGTCGACTGTGCCAGCACCGAGACTTTGACAAAGGCCTAATCGAGACTGTCCCAGTGCCGGAAACCCCCGGTAGTGCCTCTCGCGGTTGTGTCCAGCATGCCCAAGCTTTTGTTGGAAATGTTGTTGCCACCCGTGTGGCTGACCACTGGGTAGGATTTCCCATCCGTAGTCGGCAGTCTTCCCGA